ACTATAAATATTTAAAATGAAAGTGAACCAAACTGAAAATTTGTGCAGACATTTTTAATTATTATGAGACATTAGTTGGTTTTAATTTAAGCGCAGGGCGCCAAATTAATGCGACTCAAGGGTGCTCAAATCCCTGCAACCACGAGATTGAGGTCTGAACGCTAATTAAAAAATATTGCATTTTTATGTAGGGTCTTTCTTAATAACATGCTAATATTTAAGGGGGTGATTTTTGGGCTCATTTTAAGAAAAACACTTGGCATTAACGCATGGCTACAACTGTCTCAGATCGATCCGGAAAAAAATTTCTTATAGAATGTGGCCAGTAGAATCCATAATTTCAAACAGTTCCAAGATTGGGCTACTAGTTCAAAAGTTACAGCCCTTTGAATTTTTTTTCGAAATCGGTTTCTAGTCTATAACTTTTGATTGAGAAGTCTGATCGAAAAAGTACGAATTGTTTTGGATTCTACGCACCAAAATTAATAAGAAAAAGTGTTTTCCCGAGAAATTTTGGTGCAGTCGATTTTTGGTAAAAAAGGAAGGTTATACACTGCCTTTTTTTGAGCCCGAAAAAAAAAATTGTCTCAGATCGACCCGGAAAAAAAATTTTCTTATAGAATGTGGCCTGTAGAATCCATAATTTCAAACAGTTCCAAGATTGGGCTACTAATTCAAAAGTTACAGCCCTTTGAATTTTCTTTCGAAATTGGTTTCTAGTCTATAACTTTTGATTGAGAAGTCTGATCGAAAAAGTACGACTTGTTTTGGATTCTACGCACCAAAATTAATAAGAAAAAGTGTTTTCCCGAGAAATTTTGGTGCAGTCGATTTTTTGTAAAAAAGGAAGGTTATACACTGCCTTTTTTTGAGGCCCGAAAAAAAAATGTCTCAGATCGACCCGGAAAAAAATTTTCTGATAAAATGTGACCTGTAGAATCCATAATTTCAAACAGTTCCAAGATTGGGCTACTAGTTCAAAGATTGGGCTACTAGTTCAAAAGTTACAGCCCTTTGAATTTTCTTTCGAAATTGGTTTCTAGTCCTATAACTTTTGATTGAGAAGTCTGATCGAAAAAGTACGAATTGTTTTGGATTCTACGCACCAAAATTAATAAGAAAAAGTGTTTTCCCGAAAAATTTTGGGCAGTCGATTTTTGGTAAAAAAGGAAGGCCTTTTTTTTGAGGCCCGAAAAAAAATTGTCTCAGATCGACCCGGAAAAAAATTTACTTATAGAATGTGGCCTGTAGAATCCATAATTTCAAACAGTTCCAAGATTGGGCTACTAGTTCAAAAGTTACAGCCCTTTGAATTTTTTTTCGAAATTGGTTTCTAGTCTATAACTTTTGATTGAGAAGTCTGATCGAAAAAGTACGAATTGTTTTGGATTCTACGCACCAAAATTAATAAGAAAAGGTGTTTTCCCGAGAAATTTTGGTGCAGTCTATTTTTGGTAAAAAAGGAAGGTTATACACTGCCTTTTTTGAGCCTCGAAAAAAAATTGTCTCAGATCGACCGAGAAAAAAATTTTTCTTATAGAATGTGGCCTGTAGAATCCATAATTTCTAACAGTTCCCAGATTGGACTACTATTTCAAAAGTTACAGCCCTTTGAATTTTTTTTCGAAATTGGTTTCTAGTCTATAACTTTTGATTGAGAAGTCTGATCGAAAAAGTACGAATTGTGTTGGATTCTACGCCTCAAAGTTAATAAGAAAAAGTGTTTTCCCGAGAAATTTTGGTGCAGTCGATTTTTGGTAAAAAAGGAAGGTTATACACTGCCTTCTTTTGAGCCCCGAAAAAAAAATTGTCTCAGATCGATCCGGACAAAACATTTTCTTATAGAATGTGACTAGGGAATGCAATCCCGCAGCAAAATCTCAATCCCGATATTTGCGGGATTGCTAGATGTTAATCTTAAATAAATTGGCAACTAAGCAATTCTGTGCGGTTAACTTCTGCATTAAAATAAGTCGCTAATTATCACAATATTTAACAAAAAAACTTAGAACTCAAAAAAACCTCACCTGTAAAGCACATAAAGGTGAACTTCTAAAGTGCCTCAAAAATCATAGTAAATTTTTAACGAAAAAAAGTTTAACAATTATATAAAAAATAACTTCTCCGTTATGCGTTTCATTAACAAAGTAAACAGAGTCGTCCACTTGGTCGACAAATTCCTCAGTCCCGCAAATCCCGCGGGATCCCGCTACATTTATGTGCGGGATTAATCCTGCAAAAATGCTGCGGGATCCCGCTATTTCGGGATCCCGCGATCCAGGTATTGCATTCCCTAATCATGATGAACACAATCTGGACTAATAGGGATCCACGTGCACTAAGATTAACCATCAACGTAGATTTAGTTTAAATTTATTCGTGCATTTCGTTTTATTATTATAGTTATTAATTAAAATATACATTTATTCTTCATAGTTTTCTCATTTTCTTGCAACCTAGTATTGTACGATCGCAAAAATATAATAGTTAGGGTGTTCTATTCAGTTTTGTCTCAAAATTAAGCTCCCATTGTCCGTGGGGGCGAATTTCATAACACCCTGTATCACCTATCACCAGACTTCCGTATATGTACAGAAAATTAAAGTTTAGTAAAAATGTATAATTTAAAAATACAGTTGAATTCAGGAAAGATGAGCCCTGTCTCACTAGTTTGTCAACCCATTTCAAACGAGTTCTTTATTCTCTATCACATCTCAACACATGAGCGAGAAAGAGATGGTAACAATTTCTTATTTATCCGTGAGGAAGCTAAAAGGGAATTAACAATAAAAAGTAACAAGCGCGGTTAAAAATTTCAGATGTAAATAGAGTAAATTAATTACGCTGCAGTACGTGTTAGGTATATTCATGATGAGGTAAATCAATTGTAAGAGGTTACGCTTATGAGGTCGACAGCTAAGATGCGGTACCTATAAATATGAGTGTAAATAGTGGGAATAGAGGCGATAGCAACCGGTGTCGACCTACGCTAGTAGTATTAGCAGGATCCCGAAGTAAGCCAAGAGCGAACCCATCGTCTACATCTGTATCAACTTATCTTCGCGCTACGGACCAAGATTTTCGCAGCATTTCCCAGGAAGAAAACAATAAAGTTGAAAATTTCCACGGCGGACCACCTCAAACAGAAGCCACGCTCCAGGAGTCTGTGGTTAGTCCGTGCGTTCCGAATAATATCCCAAGTCCCGGGGGCGGAACGTTGTCCGTTTAATCGCATCGTAACCACTTTTCGTAATTATTGCCATTTTCGAAGCTTCCTGGATTTTCATTATGTTTTTTGGTTCTGTTAGACTTAGACGCAATGCACATTTTACAGAAATGTGGAACGGAACCGAAGGATGCGTGCGAGACCAATCGAATTCAACAGACCATTACGTTCTTTAAGTAAAACTATATACGGTTTGTGTATGCAAGTAGAACCGTGTAAACAATGGTTATTTGTACAACTAGGGAAGAAAGTGAAGTTTTTCAACTCGAGTTCAAATTGAATGAGAGTTGAAAAAACTTTAGAATAATTTTTTCTGAAACTACAAACAATATTCAAAAATTATTGTATGCAATAATGAAGTTTGACACATACCTAGTAATCTAGATGTATGTATGTTTCAATTTTAAATGTCATTATTAAGATTACCGCAGCAATTGTTTTTTACTTTCCTCACTAGAGAGGAAAATCACATTTCCTTCACCCGTTTTAGAGACGAAAGTAGTTGTTTCTAAAGTAGTTTTAGAAAAAATACTATTCCGTATTGCAAATACAAATTAAGTATTAATTTAAAACAATTATCAGAGTCCTCGTGTGAGATCGAAGGAACTTCAGCGCATTTGTGTGTAGCAGATCAGTATTATATTAGCCCGTTTTGACTCCACCATTAGTAACCATATTTCCTTAGTCGGTACCTGCTTCCGACGTCTCGTTCACCCGCAATTCACGTTTTAAGTGTTGAATCCACGATCAGTAAGATCTTGTTGGGTGCAATGATATTCCTTTTGTCGGTACCCACTTTCGACATTTTGGTAGATTTCTCTAAAAACCCTCCACGAAATAGTACTCAATTTTTAGGGCACTTCTCGAGTTTCTATTGGCGACACGAGAAAGAGGGACCCTATCCCTAAAGCTGGGCGCGGCCCCGGTAGGTACATGTATGTACACACTTCCTCCTACAAACGTTCTTCTACGAGTGCGCATTTGCTGACAGCCAGTCAGCCGGCCGGCCAAAGTGAGATTAAAAGCTTTTTACAAATAAATTCGCAAAACTACACTAAAAATCATACCTTTATATCTCCACATCCTTTACTAGATTACATCACCATTAATCTTTACTACAGTCTCTCCGATTACAAGAACTATAACAGCTGTAAGTCGTTTTTTATAACGAGGAAAAAATATTACAATGTAAAGAATAACCCGAACGAAATTTCCGGGATGTCCGAAACGGTCAGGTCAAGGAACCCATACAATGACGATATTGTACCTACTTGACCAAGTGATGATGTGCAAAAATTAGATACTCACCCCCTTCCACTTACAAACAAGTGAGTAGTTTCCACAACCCATTTCATTATTGGTATTTGGCCAGTTATCTTTAATTGTAATTCTTGTGATCATGTCGATTTGAATCTACCAATTTGTTGGGAACAACACAAACGCACTGCTCGTTCCCCACTTTTTGTCCCCGATACGTTATGTTGCCGAAAAATGGCACAAATCACACAGAAGTGGTTTTTTGTTTGGTTAGCTAAAAGATGCGAACTTCTAATAACCGATTTTTTTCCACAGTTGGTTTTGCCAATATTACGTGGTTTTTAGACGTCCAACGTATATACCATAAATTTGAGTAATTACCATGTAAACAGGTACATGAGAAGGGCATTTCAAAACGAACAGAAAAGCACCAATAAATTATGCGAAGTTGTAAAATATGACGTTGGCGATTTTGCTTATGCAAGAGTCAACAGTCACTTACTAAAAATCGAAAATTTATACACGTACGGGGGGGCGATTTATTAAAATTTTTAGATCGGGAAAAAGATAGCTCTTGATGAGCATTATCCAGCATTATAAAACGTGCAACTGTAAATTAACCATAAATTCGTGACACACCCGCAATAACTTGAAAATTTAAAAAAGGTTGAAAGTAATTCGAACCGTTAAGCGTAATATTAAACCTAAGGTGCTAAATAACGTCGATATGAAATTGAGTTGCAAAAATGCCATAATTATTGCGTTGATATAATTAATAAAATCGAATAATTAAATTATACATCTAATCATCGACATTCTCATTTTGTAAAAAAAATGTTTTTTTAAACCCTCACGTGATACTCCGATTGACGTCAATGCTGGCCTCCAATCTTGCCAGAACATTTCTTAATCTACACGACATACGACCACAAGCCTTCCAGTTTTGTCTAATACATCGATAACTACCACGCTTAGTTAATTAGACAAGGATGCGTGCATCTCTATTTGCGACAAATTACGATTAGCGTTCGATCTATGTAATTATTGAACAATACTTTTTAAACAAACTCACCATTCCTTTAGAAGCCGTCCATTTATTTTCACTGTGAAGTTACTACTGAACTGATCTGCATATTTAATGTTAGAACGCCACAAACCAACAGGAAATTCTTCACGCCCGCCGATGAGAAATTTGATCGAAATGCAGACAATAATTGGAAAGGTGTAAAAGAATAGATTTACACGATGTTGATTTAAATAAGACCCTGAATTTTAAATGTGTACACTCAAATAAATGTGAAGATATTTTATCTTCTGCCACCGGAGACCACCCCCGCTCATACTACTACCGTCTAGCCCCGAAATGGCAACTCGAAGCCTGCAAATGGAAACTATAAGATATTTGGAACTATATTTCTGTCTTTTTCACTACTGAAAGAAGTGCGTTTATGGCTGAAGTTCTGGAGGCCTTCAAGGGATTTTATGATGAAAATGATGTAAATGTATTTTTTGGGTAACATGACTTAGGTACCTTACATTGATATTTCAGCAATTGATCACACAGAAACCGAGCTTCAATTTCCACAAGTCTCGGATGCATGCAACCAACGACCGATAGCAACAAATTAGTAACAAATTGCCTACCGGTAAGGCGTGGTAACAGAACAAGATTCGAAAGTGCCTTATGAGTTATGACTGTTATAAGTATGGTACCTAATAGTCAAATCGATAAATAAAAGAATTTTTAGTTGGCAAATTAGTGGCAAACCTGAAAGCATATGGTAATTTAGCGTGTAGTTTCTCGACACAAGACCAGCAATGAAGATGTTTTTTTTTCCGTCACTGGGTAGATCAGTCGGGTTGAACAAAACAACACATTATGTATTTTACAAAAACAAATCCGTAAATACTGAATTTGTGAAAGATTTAGACCAGGTGATTCAGAAAAACGTCGCTCATTCTGCGAATGGTACACAAGATGTCAAGAGAATATGAATTTTCCTAATCCTAATGGTCCGATGAGAGTATGGTTACGAATAGTGGCATTTTCAATAGACGAAATGTCCACTATTGGTCTGGGGTTTGAACAGAACGTCAAAAGACATCAACACCAATTTGGTTTTAATATATGGACTGGTGGATTCGGTCAAAGATATGTAGGACCATTTACTTACCAAGCTACTTACGTGTACTGCAAACGATTTAGGGTAGGTATGGTTCTTGATGCGATAGTTCACAACTGTTAGATATAGCAGGATGGTGTACCTGCACATATTCTAGAGCCGTTCGGGAATAACTTTCAATAAGATTTCCAGAAAAAGTTATTAGCAAGCATTCCGCAAAACCCTGGCCAGCACGTTCACCCGATATAAATCCGCTTGCATTCTTGAATATGAGGGTTTATTAAGAAACGTGTCAGCAAATGGAAGGAGAACTGAAGGGGTTAGTTCTAGAAGCATTTGATAGCATTAGTCCACGAATGCTGACTAGGGTGTTGAATCGACGGTGACATATGCTGTAAATTTAGTTTTTTTATACAAATTTATTTCTTGTTGTATCAATTAACTCATTGGATGGCTATTAAATACGTGGATGATATCAACCGTTAATTGTCCTAGCTAATTATTTATTTAAAAGAACAGGTCCATAATAGGAATTTTCTTAATTAAGCCCCAAAAACGGCTAAACCGGATTAAACCATAAAATGCCAATACAATTCGGATTAAAAATGGCTTTAAGAATATGATATCGGAATATCAGAGCCGTATTTTAAAAAGATGAAGTTTATGAAGGCTCCGCAGATACCTACGAAACGTCGGAATAAAAAATTAACAACTCCACCTTAAACACCATTAAAAGTTGCCATGGAGAAGTGTTGGTTTAGCAAATAACGCCAGAAAAAAACTGTTCGAAAAATCCGATTTTTTCAAAATATTTCCAAACCAAAAAATTTTTCAAGGATTTCTAGACGCTATCTTCTTAGACCTTTGATTGCGCAACTTTTCTCCCATTTATTTTGACGTACAAAGGCGGTCGTTATAAGACAGTACCCCGCGTTCTTCTTCACTCCTATTACTTATGCAAATTGCAGGACACTTCAAATAGTGTGGATTCGGAAATGACGCTATACCTTTCAATTGAGATTGATATTTGTCGATTGATACTTTCTTCCTCAAATATCAGTGACAAATGGCAAGGGTCGATTAATAGAGGTAATATAAATTAGGGTTGGCATTTGAATAGGCCCATTTAGAAAACCCACTGGGTTAACGAACAAAAATCCAGTTAAAACTATACATTTTCCAGTTCAGATAATATAAGATGCGTTTCTGAGATTGGTAATTGTAAGTAATTCAGATTAGTTGAGTGTATTATAGAAAGTGTAAAGCCGTGAAATGTAAAGCTTACACGTGTAATTTTTTCTTCAATTTGATTTGAATTGAAACAATAATTAAGCCCATTAAAGTCATATTTTTTTACATATATACATAACTACCTAATTATACAGGGTGATTCCTATAGTACCTGCCACCGTTTGGGAGCGTATAGGGGGTGCCTAGGGGAAGTCTTTTCATATAGGACACTTGGGGTCGGAAATCCAAAATAAGGGCGCCAGAACCAAATTTATCTTCTGGAATTTCACGCCTGTATGTAGGCAACCCAACCGACCGACGTTTCGCGCGGAGCGATGCAGAGCGAGTTAGCGCGAGGAAGCGACATGGGAGGGAAGGAGGGAAAACGACAGTCAAAAGCAATAACGTTTACAAGTGTTCAACGTAGCCACCGTTGTTCTCAATGCACTTCCTACATCTAGCCAACCACTCCCCTCGAACTCGCGTGAAGACTCCTATGTCCTGGCGAACAGCCTCTCCGGCCATGACGACGCGCGCAATTAAGTCCTCTTCGGATTCGACGGGAGTCTCGTAGACGTGCGCTTCCATCACACCCCACAAGTAAAAATCTAATTGGGTGATGTCGGGCGAGCGGGCAGGCCACTCCACCGCACCTCCACGGCCGATCCATCTGTCCGGATAGGTTTGGTCCAAGTGTTCCCTCACCTGCCGCCCGTAGTGAGCAGGGCACCCATCGTGCCGGAACCAGTGGTCCCAGTACAAGTTCACTGGAACATCCATTAAAAGTTCTGGTAGCACCTCGCGCAGGAAAATCAGGTAATTATGGGCATTTAGACGCGGAGGGAGGATGTAAGGCCCCAGTAGGTTGTCCCCCAGGATGCCAGCCCAAACGTTTAAAGAAAACTTGTCCTGGTATCCTCGCGTAAACGTTTCATGAGGATTGTGCTCCGCCCAGTAGTGGCTGTTACGAGGATTGAAGGTCCCCTCTCTTGAGAATCCTTTCTCGTCAGTAACTAGCACGCTCCTCAGAAAGTTCGGATTAGCTTCTTCCTCCTGGACGACTAAGTTGCAGAATTCCAGCCTCCTTTCATGGTCACCCGGCCGTAACTCTTGCACTTTCTTAAACTTATAGGGGTGTAAGTTGTTGTTGTTGGCGATGTTCCACACTGTGTGTTGACTACAACCCACCTGATCTGCTACAAGTCGAGTGCTAGTACGCGGGTTTGCCTCGAAACGTTCCAACACATCCTCCTCTAAGGCATTTACGAACGGGCGATCGCGATCACGGGCGCTAGTGGGCTGCGAAATAGGAGGAGGTCGGTGTAAACAAACAAACTTTTCGAAATGGGTGCTTAAATGACCCAAGTATCGATGTGCATCACGAATCTGTGTGTAAAGTTAAGCCTCCGTCAGCTTACCTGCAATTGCCCTGTCTCGCACAGTCGGAAGTGAACTTCTTGAAAGACCTGTCTGCAGGGTAACTGACGGTTTGGATACCGCTCAGCGTACGCTCGTCGTGCAGCTCGTGCGTTACCATTTGCCAATCCGTACATGAAGTGCATGTCCGCGTATTCCGTGTTAGTAAAACGTGCCATAGTGTTTATTCACTTGATACCCGTCGTTGCAGACGGGATTTCGTGGGTTTAAACAAAATTCTGATCAAGTGTCAGCCACACATCGCCGCCTGAGATCGCTCCGTGTGCACCGCCGGCCGGTTGGGTTGCCTACCTACAGGCGCGAAATTCCAGAAGGTAAATTTGGCTCTGGCACCCTTATTTTAGATTTCCGACCGCAAGTGTCCTATATCAAAATACTCCCCTACGCACCACCTACACGCTCCCAAACGGTGGCAGGTACTATAGGAATCACCCTGTATATTATATCATATTTTGAAATTTTTCAAATAACCGTCAACCATTTTTATTGATTGATATCGGCTGCCTTAGTTACCATGGATACAATAAACAAAACAAAACCTCCATGATTCCATGGTGCGCTATTCAAAAATCGTAAAAAATAAGGTTTTTATTTTTGGTTCATCACTAAAATTTAAAAAAATATAGGTTTTGATACATCCACGTAATCACGAACAAGAATACAAAAAAATTGACGTTAGATCTACAAGGTGTTATACTTACAAAATAGGTACCAACTTTGGATCAAATCTTAGAAAAGGTGGTCCAAATTTTGTTTTACTGCGCCACTGGATTCTACGTAAAAATATCTAAAATAGGCCGTTTTTACCTTTTTTTCTATCTTACATAGACAGAAAGATATGATAACATCCCAAAAACTCAAGCTTTTCGTGAACGTTTTCACCGTGTATGTGTATCTCAGAAACAAAAGTAGGTAGATTGATTGTGTTTGTGTTATTAAAAATTTCAAAAAAACTGCATATAGGGTCACGAAAACCGCAAGTCTCTTTAAAACCGGCTGAGATACACTCTCAACCAAAATAGGACCACGGTACAAAAGTTTGTTCCACCTTTGCTACTGAATAGCAACTTGATGACATTCACTTGACACAAAAAGTTACATAATTGATCCAAAATAGAACTTGTATAAAAGTTCCTTCAATTTTATTTTCCTGAAAATGGGCTTAAAATTAACACATGTAAATACAGTTTCGCGACCTTCAACTTGAAGTACATACTTCAGTAAGTCCTTAAAATTAAAAAGAAAATTGGGACGTGTAATTTACACTTGATCTTCAGAAAGTGTCAACTGTAATTTCGTTATTGAGCTGATTGAGCATGAGAAATACCTACTACTTTATGTCGCATTATATGCTAAACTGAATTACAACTTCCTAATTTAAAGTACAAGAAATTTACCAACTTAAATTACAATTGATCCTTTCTACATTAGAATTTACTAATGAAAGTTAATGACAAACAAAATAATTTGTTGATTAAAAATTCCCCATAATTTTGAAATTAAATCTGGAATGTACACTGTAATTTATTTCGATAATTCATCAATTGCTTTGCAAAAATAAGTTTAATACAAAAATTGTTTGACCCAAACACAATTTTTCAAATTTGGCAGTATTATTTGTACAAGGTGTCCCAAAAACTGTCCACAGTCCCCAACTTGAAAATTGTAAATGGGACACCCCATATTTTATTCGATTTTTAGATTCTACATGAAACAATAAATCTATAGAAGATAGATCTGTATTTGTTACCGTTTTCGAGATAAAGACTGTTGAATTTTTAATCAAAATTTAAGGCTGTCTTTAAAAAGAGTCGAGGTTTCAGCAACAATATTACTCATAACAGTTTCAAGTTTTATTTTGTCGATAGTAATACAGTCAGCTTTTTACCACCCCCACGTTAGTAAGGGAGGTATTGCATTCGGGTAAAAAATGGCTCCTCACGTTTTGAAGCACCAGGCATTCGAATCAAACAAAATCTCGATAATGCGGTCTGTCGGTCCGTCTGTACTCTCATTTCCGGCTAAACGTCTGAACCGATTGGGGCAGAATCACGCTTGCGCAGGTGTGTGAGTGGTACCTGTGCTAGCCCCAGCAATTTTTTTCCTTTTCTGTCGCCCCGTTTTCAGATTTTGGTGTTGAATTACAAGCTGGAAACAGTTCATATTGGGTTACATATACTACGTTGCGAATGAAGCACTCCTTGGAAAAAAAACAAGCCGAATTTGCATTTCTGTACACAACCCTAAAAGCCGGGGAACCCAAATAGATAGAACTAACTAAAGGGCTAAGTTTGAGGAAAGTTTGCAGGCAGTAAACATAAGAGGGGGAAGTGAACCGGAATTTCTGCGATTTCTTCGTGAAATAAATGGCGGAAATATTAAACGCAGCGGAGAATCATAAAACATCTGGTGGAAAAGACCGATTATAAAAGACACTATCTGTTTCAGAGAAAGCAAATATCAAGGGGGGGGGGTCAATCCAGGACCTCTTAGACGAGATGGGGCGATTTAAGGCCTGCAAATTACATAGCAAAGTCACTGTACGTACTTTAAAAACACAGCATATGATAGCTAGGCAAATAGTATAGAATTCGTGATAGGTACCACGGAATATCTTACATATGTCGCCACACACTTTCTTCTATTTTTCTTTCTTCAATTAAAGAACGGAAAGAAGGTGTGACGTTAGAAATAATTGATGTGATCTGCAAGGAAGCTGGTCATGGAAACATTTTCTTGAAGCCAATGTTGCGGGGGCTGAATCTTCCGACATGTAATCCCTTGAACAACGTACTTATGGACAAGAAGCTCTCCTAGCAAAAACATTATTGAAACAGGGGCTTTACAATAATTCAACTATAGGTTGGGTGATTTTGCTATTGTTACAGTTATTGCCAGAATTGTTTCCATGGTAATTTTTAGCACAGCCTGTTACTCCCGTCGAATTATCATAAAGCCCCATAAATGCGGCAGAGACGTAGACACCAGAACTGGAATCCTTAAATAATTGAATGAATCGCGGATCCGAGTCCTCAGAAGGCACTTTTCAATTAAAGTTCAGGATCAAAATAAGACACCTAGTAGTACTATGCATTGGGGAGTGTTCGGTCTGATACCGAAATTAAAGGTAAAGGGGACACTCAGTGGATGTCTTGGGTATCATTTATCGGGGATATTCGTGACAGTTATCCACCAATTTGGTCTCGCACCCCAACTACCCCCACTTAAAAATTTAACACGTGACGTATTATTTAATATGTTGGTAGGGTTTGGTCAATAATTAATTCAATTTAAACAAATACAAAAGAATGGATTTTGGCTATTTGTTTTATTTTTCTTCAGCTAGGAGCATGTTTCATATTCATCGATTTGTTTCTCCAGAAATTGTGCAAGAAGAGAATCTGTACAATTACCCAATTGCTTGAGTTTTCCTAAATTATCTCCTGACTTAACTTCGGTTTAGGCATTTCTGTACAGGGATTTTAAAACCTTTAAAATTGTATGTAAAGGTATCACTCGCTAGTGCATGCATATTACAATGTTTAAGTAAAATATGGCGTCCATAAAATGTCTCAAACCCTCCCGATTTAAATTGAAGTGTTTTTTTGCAATTTTTCTTCATCAATCTTAGGATTTACTTATATACGGAGGGCGCATTTTGAAACGAAAGCTTGCTTGCGTGCTATGCCTACTCATTCAGTAGTAATCCTGAAGTTGTTTCAAAAATAGAAAGTGCACACACTTTATTTACGTACATACAAAGTTTTGCTACTGTAGAGCTCAACTGAGCCATATAGGTAAGCTTCTCTGTAGAAATATATTTTTATTTAATTAAATTTCAGTCTAATATCATCTCAATCTTATAATAAAATACAAACTAATAATCACATATTAAAATGGCACTTGATAAACACAGGCAAAATTTAAAAACGACCTCTCAATAAGGAGATGTCTTCAACACTTGCGTTATCTAAAACTGGAGAGCTGCTATACCTTCTGAACCGTCTCCATTTGCATCTGGTCGCAAACTCAATAAATATAAAAACAACTATTACGACAAACAAACACACAACAGTAGTTTGTAAACTCTTAATCGAGTCTAAGACCTGCAATGAATTTAGCGTCTGTTCGTTGACAACAGGTGGCGCTACTGTTGCCCCAGGCTTCACTGTTGTTGTTGTTGTGGTAGTTGAGGGGGCGGTTTCCGGTTCCCGATTTTTATTCCCTTGGTACTCTTCAACTGTTCGATTACATGCGATGCCTCCAAAATTGGGATCAGTCGTTTCGGTACCTCTATACTCAATGCGGGAATCATTAAGGAACTTCAGTATTTCGACTAAATCAGCGCACATCCACAGGTTCTCACTTATGTCAATAACGGTCACCCGAGGCAAATGTTTTCTGAAGCCACGAACATTGAATTTAGTTAAGTAATTATCATCTAAGTACAATTCGGTTAAGCTAGAACTAAAACTGAAGCTGTACACAAAATCGACACTCCTCAATTCGTTGTTGGATACATTTAACGTTCTCAAACTAGTCAAGTTGGTCCACTTTTCCATCTCCAGGTAGTCAAATTGATTGGATCCAATTTGTAGATTCTTGAGCTTATCGAAATATCGAAGAGTATCGGGCTGAATCTTGTAAAGGTAATTATAGCTTAGGTCTAATTCCTCCAGGTTAGTCAGTTTGTAAAACGAATCCGGATGTAAAACTTTTAAGTTGTTCCTGGAAATGTTGAGCTTTTTTAATAGAGTACTGAACCTGAAGATCCTTTCTGGTATCTCCACAATTTGATTTTCGCCTAGGTCCAATTCGTGTAGATGACGGAGGCCTTCAAAGGAATCGGGATTAATCAGACTAATTTTGTTTCTCGCCAACTGAAGCGTAGACACACAGTTTAAAGATGTAAATGCTCCATCTTGGATTAGCTCCACTTGGTGATCGCTCACCGATAGCTCGCGGATGAGTTGAGACTCAAACGTGTAAAACGCATTTTTGGGAAGACTCTGTATGGGGACGCCTTTGTTAAACTGCACGATATTTCCTTGGAAATCCTTGTTCATCGGATTGAAAGTGAGCTTATTGCCTTGGTAATCCACCAGGGATTTAAATGTTCGAGATAGTCGATTCGGCGCGTCTACGCACTCCGACTGGGCGAGAGTGGATTCGAAAGAAAGAGCGAGTACGAATATTAGATGAAGCATCTGAAACAAAAAGAACTTAATTAAAAATACTTGAAATTGGTTTTCCCCGCGCTATATTTTTCAATTACTGGAAAAGACGCATAATAATTAAACAATAGGCGTACCTTCCTTGATTTTCCTCTTAACACTAAAACTTCACGAGATCACTTTACATGCTAACAAAACTGCAATGAATAAATCGTAATCACAAACGGCCAAAGGATTCGGCGTGCGTGTTATCGAAATATACAACAAACATATAAATAGAAAGTTAGCAATGTTAGTGTGGTTTATAGTCGTTATCTTTCTGATGATACGTAACTACATTATTGTGTCAACAACCAACAAAATTTACCAATAAGATTAAATGAACCGTTTGCTTACAAGAGACAGTTGGGGTACTTAGTAAAAAAATGATTCCCACGACTATGACGAGACAAAACAATGACGAAATTTAATTCGCCCATGTGTTAAAATCGAGGTTAGCATGAAATTGTTTACATTTGCATTACACACTGAAAAATGCTATATTTGGAGATGTAATTATGAGTTTGACCATTGCCCACGCCGAAATTTCCCTTTCAATAACAATCACTGGATTTGTTTATCCATTCATTATGCCCAACTTAACTTAGCTCCATCGTGCAGCAATTTGTTAGCTAGCTTGGAGTAATCGTACCTGAGATTTGCATGAGATGTGAAGGAATTATAAGTTGACTAAAATTTTACCTTTCATCCCTTGGAGAATCTAAGTGGGAAAGTAACCTCCTCATTAGAGAACATTACAAAAATGAAGTGTAGAGGACTCTTTGTACTCTTGAATTCTTTTCAACGATCTAAAGAACTCCAGGCATTAAAAAAAATTAAAAATCACAACACATATTGCCTTAAACCAATAAAGAGCTTTATAATTTCCGTTGTTGAGTTATTTACCTATTAGATTTTTAGTGGTTGACATTATGATGTATTGTCAATTGATACACACAACCGAACTACACAATCCAAGCTAACATTCCGAGGAGGAGATCGACACCATGCAGGAACAGATGGAATAGCAGATGAACCGCTGTAAGGACTACAATAGACAACGAACCACTTTGGGAAGAAGTCAACAAATCGCAGAAAGGAAGCATAGTGTCTGTAAAAATAATGCAACATGTCAGCAGTTTGGCCAGCACAATTCTGCGACTTCATCATCTAGACGACGGAAGTTGGAGGCAGAAGCTTGAGTGAAGAGGAATTAGGGAAGACTAGCATAGAAGAAGCTACTGCGATCGTTTAGAAAAAGCTTTAAAAGGAAGTGCTTTAAAGTGCCATTATTATAGTCACGGATAATTTGGATATTATGGAAACAATATACATTTCATTCGGAAGGTCAGAGCTAAACGAAATGATCTGTAAAATTAAACAATACACAAAGCAGATCAGATGGATAACTTTATCAAATTCATTAGTTTGCTTACAAATTTCATAATCATCCCACGAAATTACGATTTGTTTGCCTATACAGGGTGGAAATCTTGTCTAGAACAATAAATATAACTTCAAAACTACAATGCTGCAAAAAAAGTTTTTAACATTGGAAATGTTGATGGTTTCACGAGTGTTCTAGTATACGGGTACATTATGAGTTTCTTTCAAACTGCGAGAAGACAACGGTGTCTCATCAAGTGACGATTTTACTGTACTCGACCGTGATCGGCAGGTTAAGGAAAAGTCACGGATACTGTCGATAGGGTACTTCCTTAATAGTGCTCAATTGTTTTATTAATTACAATCAAAAGTTTAATGATATAATAAATTACTTTGACATAACTAACAAAAGTGTTACGTCCAAAAAAGAAATGAAAAACATTTGAGAAAATAAAATAACTGTTTATTTCTCGGCAATATATTCTTTTTGTTTACCTTCACTACCCCCAATGCCTACTACCCAAGTGTGCAACCTCAAGGGTAACTACTACTAGATTATCGTTGTTTGCGCCCGTCCATTTCCCAGTTTAATTTCTCTAATTGTCAATCCCCTCACCAACATGTGTTGCCCTCTAGTAACACGCCGTTACTCTCACCAATCTAGTCCAATTCGAGTAATCCTCTGAATCCTACTCCTTTCATCTCTAGCTATCCTGGATATTTTTTTTCGAACGGCCACCCATTTTTTTTTCTTCATATAAGAACTTAAATTCCTTGTACCATCTCTCCAGGTGATCATTATTTTGGTTCTATACCTAGTGGCTACATCCGCTGGATTATCCACGGTTGGCATCCAATTGTGCCAACCTTTTTTAATAAATTGGCGCAATATTACATTCGTAGATGGTTAAAAATTCTTATTTATTCTTTTCTTAACGATAAACGATGACCTATTATCGACTAAAGATTAGTTAATTATTAAACTGTTTCAAAAATGACATGATTAAAATGTAAAAACATAATTGTAATAGTATTCTGCGAGGTATTCTGTGTTCAATCATAGTTTATTTTGAATCATTGAAAAGAGAATCAAAAACTCTCATTAATTATGTAAAAATCCAATATGGTTCCTATTTTTCCAAAAAAGTTGGTAGATTCATAGGTTAATAACTGCCATCTTGCATCTCACTTCTATAATTAAGGAGATAAAGGGTTTACCACTTAGACCATATAGTACATGGACTGCTAATTGTAACTAAAATATGGTCAAGGACATCGCCTGGGTATTTGAGTTTCAGGGTAAACGAGTCTGCCCGAAGTTGTCCGATGAGACACGATTTGAGACTGTGAACCTATAAATTAACAAACGTCAATTAATCAATCGCGTAGATATCCCAAAAAAAGCAAACTTATTCTTATTTGTGGACGTATAGCAAATATTGAAGAGTATTTAAAGCTTCCCGTACTACGCGGTTACTATAAAGCTGCTCTTTAAGCGATCCTAGTGGTGTTTACACGACTTTAGTTTACCCTGAGATTCACATACCCACGACTACAGTGCCCTCTATCCGTGACCATCCATTTTGTATTGAAAGCATAGGGCGAATAGCAGTCCATGTACTACATGGTCTAAGGTTTACCAATAAGGACGATAGGATTTTAAACGTTTAAGGCGGCTATGTTGGATGCCAAACATTTGACATATGCTGTCAGTTGCCATCAGTAAGGCCACAGAATAAGACCTTCACAGAACAGAAACATAAATGGCGCTAAATTGTCACTGATTACAGCGTTTCCCGTGGTTGTACGGAGAACTATTTATCGCAGACTCAAATATTTTTTTGCAAAACCTGTAATTTTGCTCGTTACAGGAAATATTTTTACCGTCGATTTTATACGTACACATGGTTTTACACATGTCAATTTTGACTTTTGAAAGATTTAAAATATGAACAAGTTATGTGACCGTAAAAAGTGTTGTGTGGCGGATTGTAACGATAAAATATCAAAAAGGCATCGTTTCCCATATTTTGAAACAGATTGTTTTGTGCTTGAAACGCGAAGAGGGTTGAAATGTGCTGTTATTTCTCTCCTATTTATGCAAGGTATGGAATTTATAAATTACCAACGATATAGGCGCAAAAGGGTGTAGACTTAAGTTTTATATTTATATAGACGTAGTAGATACTTATATTGTAATTCGTTTTAGATAATTCAACAACTTCCCACCCTCGCTTCTCAAGTAACAAGTAAGCACCAGGATCAAGTTAACATTTGTTGTCAAAAGCTTGTGTGACAATTTGCTGAAACGGTTTTATTACCTCTTGGAACAAAAAATTGAGTTCTCAAGATATTTTTTAACAAAAATATTTAGTCCAAACAGCAATTAAAACCAAATATTTCGTACGACAAATCGTTATGTAAGGATCTTTTTGCAAAGTGTTTAGTGTTAACATCTACAAAGCGTAAGTTCCACTCACTTCTGAGTTTTATATGTAATTTGTAAACTGTAACTTAAGTTCTCTGTGTTAAATAATGTAATGTGATTGTATCTAAATACACTTTAATTTAACAACTGTGTATTCTTTATCGATATTTATGATTTAGATCGAATTGGGGGAAATTACTTCATGGCTTTAGAAGCTGGTCACCAGATGGCGCTACTCTGATTTTAATGCTTTAGTTCACAGCACACCCACCAGGATCCGCCAAAATACCATACAAATTTGTAACATTGCTGTTTCTATTCTGAGAAGGCCGTATTCTGTGAGTAAGGCTTGCCATTTCATCATGAACCAGTTCACGTTGCCTCAACGCTTGGAAATTATCCAACAACATGCCACACAGCGAACGCTACAATGGACTTATTGCGTCAACAGTTTGGTGAATCGTTGATTTCTCAAAATGGCCCCCACAATTGGCCGCCAAGATCATGCGATTTAACACCATTGGACTTCTTTTTGTGGGGCTATGTGAAGTCAAAGGTTTATGCGAATAAACCCAAGACTCTTGACGAGCTCGAGGCCAACATTCGAGCGACCATAGCTGCCATTCCACCCGATATGATCCACCGAGTCATCGAAAATTGGTCCGATCGGATGAGCCAGTGCAAAAAGAGCCGCGGTGGCCATTTGAACGATATTTTGTTTAAATCATAAATGGCATAAAATACAGCATCTAATAAAACCAATCAAACCTAAATTTGACCAAATTTACTGTGTTTTATTTCAATTTAAAATCCTATCGCTCTTATTGGTAAACCCGTTATTTTTAATTCGACGCATACCCGTTTTGTTTAAATAACCTTTAATCCGGCCCGAATTTTCCCAACAATTTTGAATAGCCCATAAAACTCTAAAACTTCGTCAACTTGACCCATGCCTTCAATAATGTAGCGAACATTCCAGTAATTTCTATATGCATCGAGGTGCCATGAAAGATTAGTCATCGGCGATAAAGAACGAAAGCGGATGTGACGTAATCTTTCATGAGAATTATGAAGTGTTTGGTCGAGAACTTTTTGAAGGGTCCTTGAACACTCCAGAACATTCTAGAAAGTTTCTACCAGCACCTACTTGACATACCTAAGTATTGCACCCTAAAAAAATTTACTGAACTAACTTACTCTTTGAAACAAACTGAGCTTTATGGCACTCGGTTTTTTTTCTATTTCAGCTATTTTCATTGATAAATTCACGGTGGCTCAGATGGCAACTGCAAAAACTTAAACAGTCATAAGCAGCACAAGTTTCCAGGTTGTTACTTTACCCATGAACAAAACTGTTCACAAGACCCAAGTGCTTTATTATTATCTACTTATCTGTTATCAACTTGTCAATAGAGTACATACTCGAAATTATACATATGTTGATTTCGTCTCTCGGTTTATAGTTATTGGAATTGTCCTAAAAGTCAACTTAAATAATACCTACTTTGTGTCCATCCGTAAATCTGTCTGCTTAGATCTGTAAACAGGCCCACTCAAAAATGGGTACCTATTATCATAAACCATAAATAATATCGCAATTGGTACATTTTAATACCATAGCAACTGAAGTACGTGACGTCAAGACCTTAATTTTCTCCACTACCTATTTTTATTTAGTATGCAGATTGTGAAAATATTATGCCGATACCTTCGCACAATCCACGGCATCGTACGGAATTTGTTAAAGGTAAGCAACACGAAATCGTGACGCAAACCTACATTGATAGAATATTATGATCAGCTTAATATAGTAGGCACTAATTTTAATTGATGACAATTGATACAAATTACAAACAAATGAATGATAATATTTTGTAAAAAAAAAATGCAATTGAATAAAAGCGAATACCAAATGTAATTGCCACTTCGTGCAATTCATTTTCTATTAACATTTGCCACATCCCTTTATGAGTTTTAATTAGGTAATTTGTCAAAAAAGGGATAGCACTTCCGAAGAAAAACTGATCATCGCTACTAACTAGATCGACCCATCAAAAAATGTAAATGTCGAACTGGATGCTTACACCAAAATTATCACTTACTCTGTTAACAAAGCAATCCAGCAGCTTCGATGATTCCTCGCTTCGTTTGACGCGTGATCGAGTTTTCTTATTTGTACTACTTTCTTCTTCCTGCAAATAAAACATGAGCAATGAGGTGATCATACAGTCATAAATTGGTTAATTCAATTGTAGGTCATTTCGTGGTAGCTAATACTATGCGATCAAAAGTGAGTTGCTGTCGAGTCACCTTTGGAATTTTTGTTTACATGGGAAATCGTACTTAACTTAAACCTCCAAAGGCGACTCGACAGCAACTCATTATTGATCGCCCGTTACCCGTACCCGTTCGTGCGTAACCTAGGCTAATAAATCGTTTTAAGATGTACCTATCCACAAGTTCCTTAGCAATTTTGAGTTTAAGCCCATCTCCAACCGTAAAAAAACGATTTAGCGCCATTCAAATAAAACGCATTTATTACCTAATAAAAATGATTAATAATTGTGACTGGGGGTTAAGTATTTGCATTGCGCACTTTCCGCGTTGTGATTTATCCGCGACATACATAGGAAAGCGTAGGTTGCGCGATCATAGAAGCGACCCGTCAAATTTACGTTGGTTCCGTTTTGATGGCCCAGCGGCAACGAAAGAAGATAAAAATAGGGGAGTGCAGTTTGCGGATAATAGACGCAAGCCGTCAAATTTGCGTTGGTTCCGTTTTGAAGTTGAAGCACGACAATAATGGAAAAATTAAGACAGCGAGATAAGCAGAGACCGTGATAGTGTATAGTTTGGTCTGCAAAAAGTGCGGAAGAAGCGAAGTTATTTCGAAAAAGTTGCGAAAGAGCAGCGGCAGCTTAAATCGAAAGACCGTTTTTAAGAAAACTAATCGCAAACTCAAAGGGTCAACCCTCGGGTCAACATCACAAAAGAACAGAATTTCAACTGTTTCAAGCGGGCCAGTATAGGCTTTTTTGTGTGAACAAGACAAAGACAAGACAAAATACAGGGTGTTTTTTTTGGGAGCTTTAGTTAAACGTTTCTGGGAAAGTAAAATAGGTAGGTTTTTGAAAATTTGTACTTAGGAGTTACGCTGAAGGCCGAATCGATGTAAAATATTTTCAAAATGACCGCACTTTCGGAAACACCGGAAGTAGATAGTAACTTCGTTATTTTAAATAGCAACCCCAATTTTTTATTGGGTTTTTGGATTCTACGTGAAATTTCAGTTCTTTGGATACCCATATATCGATATCTGCCATTTATGGTTTTTAAGTTATTTTGACTTTAAGAAAAAAAATGGCGGATGCAGATGATACCTTGATAATTGATTACTTGAAAACGGTTGTAGTCATGGCAACCTATGTTTATCAGTGCATATAGAATGAATACACCTTTCTTTTAGTGTACTTAAAAAAAGTTAAGTTGCGTAAGACCGCCCCTATGGAGATCCAAATTTATGAAACTTCAAAGACTAAAAACTCAGTTTTTTTTTTATGGAATCACAATTTTCTTAATATTGCATGAGATAAAGAATCGAAATGGGCATATTTTGACAATACATGTTCCTATAGCTATCTTTAACAGTTTCTGACTTATTCCCATTTTATTGAATTGACACTATTTTTTTCGAATTTTCTTTTTAGTAGTCGGCCATGATTTTATAACAATTGAATTTTAAACAATTCTAGTGACACTAATCCGTCACCTACTGTTATAGGTTAACATAAGTTTTTCAAAAATCGAAAAATGACTTGGTTTGATTTATGGTGAAATGGACAGAATCGCGGCACATGCTTGCCGTACATTCATTCAAACACTGGAACGAAATTGTATGAATTTTGGAAAAGTTGTACCCCCAAATGCACTACAAACCGTTGAAGCACAAGTGAATATTTAAGAAAATGAATTGAATTGCAAATGCAAGATTAACAAAATAAATTCAATGTAAAATATAAAAAACTTCGTTGAAACATTTTTTGTATGGAATTGTTGGTAGAACAGATATCGCATTACCTCTCTGAATTTTTACACTTATACGTTGTTTAAGAAATTCAGTTGAACGACTCTGTCTAGATTTCTCAAAAATTTTCCGTCCTATATCCTTAATAAATGACTTATTTATTAATGAATTATTTAGACTAGAATCAATGATATTAAAAAATCCTTTTCTTGAAAATGCAAAAAAAATGGCATCAATTCAATGAAATGGGAATAAATCAGAAAATGTTAAAGATAGCTATAGGAACATGTAATATCAAAATATTCCAATTTTAATTCTCTATCTCATGCAATAGTAAGAACATGGTCACTTTGAAGTTTCTTAAATTTGGATCTCCATAGGTGCGGTTGTACGCAACTTAATTTTTTTTTAAGTACCTACACTAAAAGAAAGCCCTATTCATTCTCTATGCACTGATAAAAATGGATTGCCATGACTATAACCGTTTTCAAGTAATCAATTATCAAGGTACCATCTGCATCCGCCATTTTTTTCATAAAGTCAAAATAACTTAAAAACCATAAATGGCAGATATGGACATGTGGGTATCAAAAGAACTGAAATTTTACGTAGAATCCAAAAATGCAATAAAAAAAATAGGGGTTGCCATTTAATATAACGAAGTTACTATCTACTTCCGGTGTTTCGGGAAGTGCGGCCATTTTGAAAATATTTTACATCGATTCGGTCTCCTAAGTACAAATTTTCAAAAACCTACCTATTTTACTTTCCCAGAAACGTTTAACTAAAGCTCCCAAAAAAACACCCTGTATAAACATGAAGCAAGTGGGCAGGCCGTAAGGCAAACTTATCTACATTATATTTCCGACCATTATCATTTCCTGTAAACTTCATATACCACGACAACGAGCCTTGACCCAGGGGAATTTTCAATCAAGATGACTTCCTTTGAGATTCGTGCTACCTCGGACTTAATATTTATTTATCGTATGGGTGGCCCTCTCGAGTTACAGACGTTTTCAGATTTCAGAAACAACATTTGAGGGTATTGTAATTTTGATAGGATTGAAATTAGGTATCTTGTTTTTATTGGTTTAAGCAGTTTAAATGTTACAGGAAAGACTCCTTCAGTTTTTTAAGATATTGGCAACGTGTGAAGTTTCAATTAGTCAACAAAGTTTGTATTTTATGTGTATATCAATAGAACTTAACTGGGGGAAGGTTAACTTTGAATGTGTTGGATTATTTACTGTTTAACATGTTTGTGTTCATTCCCTCATCCCATTAAAATGTACAAATGTATTAGCGCCTTAGAAGTAAGTTCGAGAGTAAGATTATTAAATATTCAACATATTGTTGTGTAAACGTCAGGTGTACGTTATTTGGACTGAAATGATACCTTGTATATGGGTTAAATATTAAAATTAATTTGAATTTGGTGGAGTAGTTCTTCTAAGGCCGTAGCTTTGGCGCCATCTATTAGTCCTTTTGCGATTTAAACGAGGACTTAAAATTACGGAACAGACAAAAGAGCGGGGTTTTTAAATTGGGAGAAAGAGTCGTAATTGTTCATGCTCGTTGCTCTATATCCTGGACAAAACTAAACAAGATACGGAGAATCGCATACGAACTCGTAGACATCGATTGGCAAACGTTTCACATGAACAGACGGACGTACAGACGGATGGACAAAACCATCACATACGAGGAATTTCTTTCGAACAATTTCCCTAAAATAGAGGAGGATTTTGTATCTTCGTCTCATACTCATAATTTTTCAAAAATATTACACAATACAGAGCTTTAAAAAATTACCTACGTTATAAAATAGTGCCGTTTAGGGAAATACGGTAAGTATAGAAATATGTTTTAAATTTTTATTATCTTCAATTTATTTCTTTTTAGTGCACTTTCACTTTCAAAAAATAAAAAGTGCATTTTTACGCTCCTTATATGTACCTATGTTTGTCTGTCTGTCTAAGTCACAAAGACTCCGGAACTACACCACTTACAGACTTGGTATTGGTGTCATTCGATCAGAAATTAAAAATTATTTCATGTTTGTATTCTCCTTAGGCATGAAATGTCCATAAGGGCTTTTAAAATCGAAAAAACAAATTTGAAAGTGCACTCTTCGCCTTTTCCTCACAAGCGCTTTTCTTTTTTGTCCTTTATCTGTCTTATTCCGTAAAAATCAAATATGCGCGTATAAAAAATAAGAAAGTTGTTGCCTGTAGTTTCTACACCTGTTATTAAATGGAAATTCTGATAACAGATTCAGTGCCAAGCTACACAAAATGAAAACGAAATTTGACATTTTCAGTTTTCACTTTTTGAAACGTGTGTAACAAACACCCGTTTCATTATGATGTTCATATCGGACTTGTATCATTAGTAATGTTGTATCATCATTCCCTAAATTAATCTGTATGGTGACAATGTTTATTAATGAAAAGGTATCATGCAGATTAATTTATGGAATGGTGAGTAGTGACAAGGCAGTTAAATTATTAAGCTGTCGGTTGTAAATAAATATTGACTAAGGAAGTATATAAATTTAATATGCATTTAGCTACTGGCTATATTTAGACAGACAAATTCTTTCCTAATATAGTTTACACCCATAGGTATTTCAACAAAAATAATGTTGATCCTCAGTTGATCCATACACTGCTGGAGATAATTTACTTTTCGATTAAAGTTGTTCGTATTGTAAGTATTGATCGTATAGCAGTTGCTGATTAGTTTATAATTATATGCTTTTTAAGCTCGTTCTTAAGTACTTAAGCAAATAAGACAACATTATCAGTGAATGCGATTTTTTTACACAACTTGGATTTCCTCGCACAGCGCAGACTGTCTCAGAATGATAACGGCTGGAACGCGTCTTAATTTATAATCAAAATCGTAGTAAACATAGAATTTGTGGAAATCGGAAAAATCATAGTGTTTGAATTTCCCGCCTTTAGTAAAATGGTACCGCAATCAGCCACTGTGGCGCCTTGTCCATTTTTTATGAATATAATATAATTTCCAAGACGATTTCTCTTTTCTGAAATAAAAACTAATACCATCATAGAACATACCGAGACTTATCACGAAAACATAGCATGGCATTTGGATTTGGCTAAAGAATTTGTTAACATAATTTATTTCGATCGCCTCCAGATCAGTTATCATAAATATTTCGATTACCGCGATATAAATAAAATAAGTGCAATGCACTCAGAATCACGCAGTCTAACCTAACAAAATGAAAGGTGACACGCATCACATACCTCCCCTAAAGCGTTTAAGAAAAAAGACGAACTGTACGTTTGTGGTGGGAAAAGTGTTGCAACGTCACTCATTGTCGCACTCTCGAAATCACAATAAACAAAAACACAAAATGTAAATAAACATACGAAAATACACAAAAGTACACGATCGAGATCAAGTCAATAACTTGCACTCGCGGTAATAGCGATTTGAATGCTTGTTGCGCGCGGGCGGGTACAGTAAAGATTTACATATATATCAACTTTAGTAAGTTAAGCCCCTCTCTCTTCCAAATAAATAATTAAATCGTTTCTTCAATGATAAATACGTTTTATAGCATTACGTTCGCGCGGAATGTACTTCTTTGGAAGCTCTTTAATTGGTTAGGGTTGGTTTGGTAGGGCACTCTGGTGGTAGCTACCCCTATCACTATTCTACGATAAAACAGAGAGGTTTATTTATTATTTTGTGCATGTGCCAAATAAATAGTACGATCATAACATATTATGGTCTAAGGCGCCACTACCTATATATGCTCGTTTATAGCATGATTTTCACCCACTTTTCATTTTAATTGACAAATAACGGGGGATCAAAAATGAGTTGCTGTCGAGTTGCCTTTGGAAGTTTAAGTTAAATACGATTTTCCATGTAAACAAAAATTCCAAAGGTAACTCGACAGCAACTCATTTTTGATCGCATTGTATAATAAATTAAATTATAATTGTCAGTTTCCACATAAAATGGTAATTTACTGGCGGTAATTCTGATTCCCTATTTTGTAGCGTTTTGCGTGAATAGGTATTTGCTAGGGTGAATGAATCCTTCACCCGAGATTTACCTCGAGATATATAACACTCAAATCGTTCACACTATGCATATATAATTCATAATCGTTTTTATTTTTGTCTGGCTCTACAAGGTGGTACACACAACGTTTCGTCCTTTATAAACCATCTTCATATTTTCATATGGACCGGAAAAAAGTAGGTACATAGGTACTGTATTGAGTAGCATTTTTCATTACGAATATGATTCTTTATTAAGTACCTATACCTAGCATTTAAACGAACTATCAATTAATTATTTTGACATTTTGTCCACGCCTACTACCCCAAAATTTTAAAAAAGAATTTTTTCAGACTTAAATAATAAACAATTCTTTTCACTACTAGATAATTATCTATAATCTATAAATTTATAAATCTTATGAAAAATGCATCGGAAATGGTAACGTCCTTTATACACTACTTAAAGTACACAGATTCATTTTTCGTATCTAATTTTGTTGATTCTATTACAATGGTTACTACCTACGCCATTAAATCCGGCAACATATAATTTCATTTGGCAATATTTCAAACACATATCTCTTTTATTATACAATGCATATCTCCATATTGACAATGCGCAGTTTGCGAATGCGCATTGTTACTCCTGGAGTCACTGTAATTATTACAATATGCGATATGCTTGCCTTTACTATAGAAGCATCTGTGGTTAAAATTTCGAAGAAATATCTCTATAAATAAGAAAGGTGACATTGCGCAAACTGCGTATGCGCACATTAATCGTCAAGATTTTTCTTGGTTGAGGCATTGTATACCTACTAATAAATATACAATGGTTGAGGCTTAGATGTTTGTATGATCTAAGGGTTGAGGTGCCAAAGCTATTGGCTACCGAATGTAAAATGAACGAATTAAAAATTTTGGCACATGAAGTAGTTATTGTAGTTAAACTTTAAATCCTCGGACGGACGGACAAAGTGACTACAATAACGCCTTACAACACGAGTTGTAAAATGCGCTAAAAACAGCTCGTTTGTCGCGCGTAATGTTGGTTGCCTACAACCGTCTATTCCATACCATGATAGGTACATATCATCATGCCATGGCAGTGATCAGTTTTTTTTAAGTAGGTATAGTATACATATACCTACTATTTATAGTTCATAATATGTATATGCATTTAAGAAAAATTCCCTGTATAATTTTTAAAACAAAAAAGTTATATTTTTATGTGCACTATAAAAGGATGGTTTGTGGAAACTATGAACAAAAATTGAAACAAAAATATTCGATGTAGGTACTCAAAAAATTACAGCACTCCCAATAGACGAATCGATATATAAACGTAAGTTTTCATACAAAAAGTACATGTCCCCGCGGCTTCGTAAGCGCATAAACATTACAATCTGTCTTAATTCAGTTTTTTCCCGTTTTTATTTATTTATTATGCCTTTATTTTTGAGTGGGCGGGGTTTCAGCTAAGGCTGTTCTACCAACCCAACCCACTATACATTTACAAATATCCATGCCCGAACCCGGATGCGAACCAGGGACCCTTAGCATCACAGTCCAGCTTCAACTGAACTGCGCCACATGGGCCGTACGTTCCCGTGGGAATTTCAGGAAGTAATTTCATAGTACACCCTTGTCAAACCTCTACTATTTCCGCAGTTTCGACTGTAAAAACATACACACATATATATTTTTTCCGTTCCCCTACAACCGCCAAAGAACCTAAATGCAAATTTCAGCTGTGCGTTGTTATCCGTAACGGAAGAATTTTATATATGTACATTGATATGTTATTTTTGGAAGACGGAGGGGATATACTTTTATAGGTATGTCTAGGTAGGCATTTAAAGGACTACTTGTGAACTCTGTAAACAAAATCAACCAAAACATCAACAAGTTAAAAACGTGGTCACTCGCGACCGACGAAAGCGCATTTTCCGCGGACACAATCAGTAATAACTCGGGAAGGAAGGGACTAATCCAAAAGATCTTTTATCGTTCTGGTATCGGGGAGAAAGAAAGAAACCACAACGAAAAAGTTTAAACTGGAAGACTAGTAGTGGTACAGATGGACAAAGTGCGGACAATAGCGTTCATTTTCTTTCCTTTTGGAAAATGCGCTAACAATATGCGACGTACTACAAAAATTACAGCACTCACAATAGACAAGTCGTTATGTAAGGGGAAGTCATTATCAAAAACTTCTTAAACCTAACCTGACCCCTTACTTTAGTTGTAAACAACTGAAGTACAGTAAGGAAGGTACGCAAAATAAAACGCCGAAATGCCAAAATTTTGTTTTAATAATAAGTAATAATTATTATTATGAAGATTGTGAAAGTTCAGAAATTTAGTCGAAATAAATCTCATTATAACATATGTTCATTATTAGGTGGTTCAAATCTCAGAGTAAGACTTTACTCTGAGGTTCAAATAGTGAAAGGAGCATTACCACAGATTATTAGAATAGGTATGGTAATGTGTGGCATTACATTACAATACAAAGAAACAGGAAGTGGCAAAATATTAGTATAGGTAATGTAGGTATTTAATTTGCAAAAGATATCCTGGAAATTTTCTCTACAATTAAACGAGTTGGCAGGTAAGACCTGACTGTTAAACCTGGCGAGTCTAAAAAACATGGCGCATTAGTTTATGAATAAAATGCATGCATATGGGTTCCGCTTTACCTGAAAAACTAGTAATTCATACCAGATGGGACTGCATCTTAACACACTCCTGCAGATTTCGGCATTAGCCTTATCCGTAACGATACATATGTAAGGTATGTGGGACCTTTTATTGGGTAACCAACCATGTAAAGAAAAATGGTGAGACAGTAGCCATCTTATTAGCATCTTTTAATTGTCGTAGATTCGTCTGAGAGAGGGAAGGAAGGACCATTCAATAATGCCCTTTCAAATCTGGAGTGTTTAGACAAACTTTCAAAAATAAACATTATACCAAAGAATACTTAATAATTACTCTTTGATTACTCATTATTAGCACCTATACTGCATTCATTATAAGAAGGTAGTAGATGCGGTGTATTTGAAGATAAACACACACAGGAAAAATATAAAGCGGCACAAAATTATTGTAAAGTAGAAATATCTAGCACTGCGAACAGAAATAAATGTTTGACATAACAGCTAATGACACTACGGCAGTTTAGTTAGCAACATAAACTACCAGCTTACAAAATTCGCCAGTCGTGTTTTGTTTCAGCGTAATACTGTCTGGTATTTTAACCAATCACAGTGAAGCTCAAAGCTTCCCTATGCGTTCTACCGCTACGTTCTTAAAATGAATACATACAAAATGACAGTGAATCATTAGATTATATAAACAAAAGAATGAAACCATTATAAAAGGAACCTTGGCAGAACGTAACACAACACAAAATACAAATACAAAATGAAACCATAGAAAACACAATGGTCAAATTAGACAAAAAGTGCGCAATTAAACAGTTATCATACTGTAAAGAAAATCAGAAAATTCCGATTACTTCCGAAGGTATACCAAAAAAAACGAAATTTGCCAATTTAATCATATAATAATAATAGCGGCTTTATTTTTTTTGTTTCCTACAGAGAATCAATTCTTTTTTATTTTTCCCTAATGTTATTTGAACAGATATAAAAAAATAAAAAAACACTTCCTCATTGCCACTTTTGAAACTATAAGACACCATTGACCGCTTTTCAATACAACGTTTCGTTTTGGAAAAATCTTCATAAACATTATTTTTTTATGTAGCCCGTAAAAAAGTACACTGTATTGAGTAGATTTTTTATTACAAATACACAACAAAAAAAAGTTCCGAAAATACCTACCGGACATATTTTCCATTTTTAGGAAATTTGAGTGCTGAGTTGATGCTCTGGCTTCTTCGCGTCGCTGCCAGCTCTCTATCATCATAGGTGGTAGGTATATACAGGGTGGAACCTCTCAGTATAGCTAGATCCCTAAACAAACAAAAAAACGCAAATTAAATAATTCCAAGCTGCTCACTGGATTACCATCTTATGAATCTTTTTTAATATTTCATCATGGTGCGAGTACTATTCCAACATGAACATTTGTCTGCGATCTTCGGGGTAAAGATTACCATTAATAGTATTTTTTTCCTAATAATAGTATCAATGGAATTAAGCAATCTATAGTATACTGTAGGTAATATTAACTTTAAAAACATATAATTGTGTAGGTACTTAAAATATGTCAATATAAAATCTTAACATCTAATAAAATAATTGTAAATAAATAAATAATATAAACAAGACACTTTTATCTCACTTTTTCACCCTCTTTAAGAATGGATAACACCCTTTGCATCTTACTAAAGCATTCAACGTCAATGGCTTCCTCAGGCGATACACTTATATGCTTAATCACCTCGTGCAATCGAACATCCAACCCTGCGCATTTCAGTATTAATTTTCCACGCTGATTATTAGCAATCAATGCCCATATGATTGAGACTACCACGTTTTTTTCTTGCATTGTACCGCTAGTTAATTTCATTTGAAGAATTTTAATGAAATCAGCTGCAAAAATAACTTTCGATTGTTTGTGCAACATAAATAACTGAAAAGGGTTACCAGAGTTTAGTAGACGAGGGCGGTTACTCTGGTGGAAAGATATATTTCTCAACACTAGCAGTGCCATGTTTCTGCTAACTGATTTTGTACTGGTCGTAAGCATCATAACAATGTCTAGAGCTTCAGTGGCTTTCGCTACGCCCAATTGTCCCTCCGCATATCCTGTCAAGGCAAATAGAAATTCCAACCAAATCACTTCCACATTTTCCCACGTCTTTTGTCTCTTAGTGATTGCCGGATGTAATCGGGACACACACTGAAGGATGTTGGCCTGGAAGCACTTCTATTAACATTTTAAGGAATAAGGTGTTTAGCAAGTAGTTATAATAAAGAAATCTGTGCAAATCTTCTCATAATCAAATAAATTCACTGCCTTACTTTAATTAGTATATGTCTGCATTCCAAAACGGAGCAGGCGTTTTGCAACAAATGGAAGACCAATTCGAAAATGCCCAACTCATGAGTACGGCTGACTAAATCCATTTCTCGATCCACAAGATTAACAAGCTCGTGAAGCAACGAAACAGCACTCGGAACCTTGCGAGGGCCGGTCCCCGCAACTGCGCTGGTTAACGTCATAGACTGACAGGCTAAATTGGACAACATTAAATTGCAGTTAGTCAAGGTTTACGCCAAACCTAAGTAGCAGTTGGTGGAATAAGTGCACAGCATTTTTACACCGTCGCTCAACAATGTCCGATCCGCACAGAGCCACACCCACAACTTGTGGATTACGTCGGAAAACCCCAGGACGGCCGCGGCGCATTTCACGCTTTCGTCCCCCAACATAAAGTTCGTCGTCAACCCAATCACGTTTCCGAACTCTCGGAGAATGGGGCAAACCCTTTTTTTATCGGTAAGTCGGCGCAAGCACGCAACAGATTCTAAACTTAACTTTACTTGCAACTCTTTCAATTGTTTAACTATTGTTTCCATGAGTCCATTGTGAAGTGCTAGCTTCTTCGCCTCAGAGGAAACTGCCAAAATGCTCGTCAATGTATTTGTAATCACAGTTTTTTTCCTATCTCTATTTCGAATGGTGCTGGCGTCGTAAAGATGCAGTAAAATCTTGCATAGCGTTGCTCCTGCCATAAGTGCATCATCCTGTGCAGTTTCACTTTCAGTTTCGCATTGGCTGCGTTTGTGACTTAGTTCTAATAGTTTGTTACGCACTTGACTAAAGTACGAATTTTCAAATACATTTAGTTTATCCTGGCCAGGCGTGGCATTGTCACGTTTCTGTTCCCACAGGACTTCGATTGGCTTATCAGATTTGTCAATTTCGATTTGCTCAAAAGAACTTCTTGGCGTTTTCACAGTGTCTAATATTGCCGTCATTGACGGTGAGTTCAAGGCAACACTACCGCGCTCAGTTTCGCAGCTTTTTGTCTCAGCTTCAGCACGTAGCAATGACGTAAGAGACATTAAGGCGGACGTTTGCAGATCTATGACAAATTAAAATTGATAATTATATTTATATTTCTGCTTTCTACTTTATTCATCATCATAAAAATAAATCTGTTTGAAATACACATTTAAAATAGAAGATAGCAATTGCTCGCCAATTATATAACCGTCAGAGAATCACACCGATAGCTTTTCAGAACAATAGAAAACTTTGCAAAATCATTTAAGGGTAACCGAAGACATTCCAGACTTTCATAGCACCGTTTAAGAACTATAAGCGCTTTTCCAGAACTGTTCAAGTTCGTTTAGTTGTAAAAATGGCCTAGCTAACCATCTAGAGCAAAATACGCTACCTGATTTATACCTTTAAGTCAATAAGTATTGAGATCTGCTTTATTTATTTAAATAAAATAAACCATTCCATGTAAGTTTGGAATCATAACTGAAAAATCAATCTTATTATGATTATCATTAACAATCATTTATACTCCTGTGTCTTAAAATAGGCAACTTGTTACCATAACAAGCAGGCATTTATTTAGTAAATAAAGTTTCTCTCTCTCTCTCTCTCCTCTCTCCTACATGATAATTGAAAAATACATAGTCAGGTACCAGCTCAAGGTTCTGTGCAATTTTGCTTACATTTGGCAGGCCGAGAGGTACATACTTCAATTAATTTATTGAAAAAGACAAAAATTATTCCGAAACACACGAAATAAAAATTAAAACAAAATTACTGAAAGAAAGAAAAGCTTACAAAGCTTGTTTGGACAAAATCCTACAAATCTTCGTTTACATACATGTCAGCATTTTTGTACAATAAGCTGCCTGATGAATACAAATCATTGAATAGCTATCAATTTAAGCGCAAAGTAAAAATTATGATTTACAATGAATAATAATTAGACCTTTAAGTATAGCAAGTTTCTGTTACCTAATCTTTCTATATGTTACCTTCTATATACTTCTTTTAGATATTATGTACACACGTGGAGAAACTTTGTCATTTTTGTCAATCTGTCTTCGTCTAAGATTTCATTTATTTTCTTTTCATGTAGTCTCGTACAACTCAAGTTATTGAAATAGTATACCTTTTTTAGTTTATGTTATTTTCAATCAGTATTTTGTAATTGTAAATTGTAATTCTGCTGGTTGGGAAAAACAGCTTACAGCTGGTCTCCGCCAGGATAATAAAGTATTATTATTATTATTAAAAAAAATACCCCACACTCAGGCGTTCGACAAAATAAGAAAATTTTAAAATGACACTTTTTTTTCTCTTTTAATAATCCTAAATATTTGGTCGTACAAAGATTTGCGATAAACAAGACGCATTTAAATCCACACACAAACGCTGATAGCTTCTGAACTTTTCTTTGCCACACAAATCTTGATGGAAAGCAACAATAACTCGATGAATAAAATTACGATTTGCCTGAGACGGTACAAACTCTGAACTTTTAGTAACAAAAGGCCTCACCGTGCACTAACTCCTTACTTTCAACTTGCCAGTTTTTTTCCAAAACGCTTTAAACAACTCAACTTTATAGTTATCTTGCTTCTGCACAAAATTACTATAATGACAAACTCCGCCTTCAACTAATCAAATCGGGTCGACAGCCCGAATAAAAACAGCGCAAAGAATCGCTGCTTGCGCTTTTTCCAACTGTCGCGAACCAGCTAGCTAGCAGGATAATTTCTGGTATTTAACAAAACACCACTTCCACAATAAAATAATCTCCTTTCTCAAGACGTCTTCAAAACACCAATCATCATCAGACTTGATAACTCCAACTTCGAAAAAACGCGTCGCGTGTCCCCACTTACGCCGAAAATAACGCACACATACAAAAGACCTGCATCTCAGCGACAAGAACACGTGCGCTAATTAAATCTCGGCCGATAATAAGTTGACAACGGGCCATACCACGTTGAAAACATTGGTTCTCGTCCGATAACCAAACTTCTTAACGATCAGATGCGCCTACACTAAAGCAACTTAACTAAAGTGAATTAATTGCAATAGCAAGAAAATTCAAACAAGAAAATAATATGCAATTATAAACAATTCTATAAAAGGGAAAATAACACTGAGGTACAGATTGAAGGAAAAGGAAAAATAATTCCCCATATTTACACTGAATCAAATTGAAATATTTCTCATATACAGAGCGTCCCGTCATGATCGTCTACAAGACGATGTTTACACAACAATACATACTTCCATTACTCGTAATACGATGAGTATTCAATATTATAAAAAACTAGATTGTTTAGCCAAGATTTTAATGCATTTTTAAACAAAGCTGGCATGTTACCGCATAACAGGCTCTGGATGGGCGCTATAAAACTCAAAAATATCACGAAATGCTCTAGAAATCCGCCTTAACTGCAAAGGAAGACTAATCAGAGCTTCATAGCGCCTTTCAAGAACTAGCTAGCCCATTTCCAGAACTATTTAAGGCTCACCTGGTTTCGGAATGGTCTACTCCATCTCAGGGGCTCTTAAGTACTATTTGAGACCTTTCCACAGGTTTCTGAAAATGATCTAAAACGCTCTAGAGAAGAGCTACAAAGCTGTGAGCGGTTTGGAAAAGCGCGAAAATGTTATGGAAATACGTTCTTATGAGATTCTGGAAGCACTTCCCATAACCTTCGGGTACTTTCCAAAGTTACAAAAGTACTTTACATAGCAATAAATGCCTTCTAAGCCTTTTCCACAGCATGCTGGCGCCTTACCTTTTTTGATTCTCTTCAGAACTCCAAAGTTGTTCAAACATTGTCTAGATAATAACAGTCACCTTTCCAGGGCTTCCTACGACAAATCCAGAACCTTGTAAAAGCTGTAGAAAGAGAACAAGTGGTTCCCAAAGAACATGTTCCAGAACACAAAATACCTGAACAGTGTACAGAAAGTCATTCAGAAATTCGTGGAAACTTTATATAGCCACTGAATCATTCCAGTCGCTTTCCAAAGCATTAGAAAGCTAAAGAAAAATAAGGGGCTTCTGAAAAACGTTTGGAAAGCGCATATCTAAAAAGCTGTTGCAGCACCATTGGAATAAAGAAACTCCTTTACGAAGCATCACCTTGATCTGTTATCAAATGTAACTGTTGATACAAATTCCCTCTGTGCGGATCCCAGTCATTTGCCAATAATTTTTTTTTATTTATTCAATCCCTAACAGCTGAACAGAAAACCTTTTGTATGAATAAAATAGAAAGCATATTTTTGTAGTGCTTTTATTGTGAAATTGTAGAAACTTACCAAATGACGAATTCGCGCTAATCGATTCGCAAAGCGTTAGTAAAAATGCCTGATGCCCACACTCATTCAATGAATTAGTAACAACGCCCAAAGCTTCAAATACCATTGTGTCTTCCAGTAAAGCGCCAACTAATACAAATATCTCGGTCCACAACTTATTGCGCAAATAAACCAACTGGGCTAAACTCTCGTCTAAAATTCATTGCAAAGGTACAGTTTTTACAAACGTGTCACTTACAGTATAAGTTGGGATTTAGGAGAGAAAGCAAAATGTTGAAGCAGTCGCGCGTGTGGATCACCGTGTTGCGGCATGCGGCGTTTCCGTTCACCGCTCTCGTGAGAACGGAACATATGGACGCGTTCATTTCTAAAATGTCGCAATAAAGGGCCAAATCTCTTGTGCTTTTAACATCGGTATGCGGTTTTGAAAGGCATCTAAAACAGCTGTGTTATTCACAGTTAACTTCAACCCTTAGGTCTTACCGAAAGAACAGTTTTATTAATCCAGAATCTTGTAGGAGGTGTATGACTTTATTCTCCGACAACAGAAGTAAATTACACACAAACATGCAAATGTTTTTCACTAGTACAGGAGTGATTACAACATCTACATTTTTTGGACTATTAGGCAGTGATGTATGCTGTATTAAATTTCTAGTGTACGCAAGGTTTACTTCATCATTCACGTGTAGATTGTGAGGTGAAATTTCTGAAATGTAACGATAGTGGTAAACGAAAAGCAAATTAACCAGATACACCTACCAGTCATTCTTGCTTCGTCGGATCTGGTAAAATCAGGTTTCAAGTACAAAATTTCCAAAATCTTTGGTAATTCAGTAAAAAATTTAAATTGTTGCAGTTTCTCCAAGATTAATGTAATTGCGGTGTCTGCCTATAAAAGGAGAAATTTAAAAAATTAGGTTTGGTCCTTGTACCATTCAAGTTAAGTATTGTTTTACAGCCATGGTCAGTGCCAACTTACCTTTGGATGTTTACATGGGACTAAACTATTTATAATAGTCAGATTAGTAGTCGACGATTCGGTATGACTGGTTAAATTAAACAGAACATTCGCAGCATTCTCCCTGACTATACTCGCCTCATCATTATCTAACAGAATGGCGAGCATAGTTTCCCAAACTCCATACCCTGTTTTGCAATCCTTGATTTCTACAAGAAAATTAATCAATGCCGCAATTCGAACGCGCAAACATATAATTACGTTGTACTAACTCAATTGCGGCTCTCGGCGACATCGCAAGTCCGGCGAGCAATTGCAAAATGGCGGCGCGCAAGACCACATCTCTGCTTAACCACAGAGCGCAAATGCTATAAAATATGCTTTCCTCAATGTCTTGATCCGAGAGAAAGTAGATTTCCCACCCCTACAACAACTGCATATTATACCGAAAACTGACAATAAGGTAACACTACCTTTGCATCGACATACTGCATTTCTAACAGCAGATTATTTAAGATGAGTGTAATGTGACGTGTTATGCTGAGACCCATTAACGAATCGGCCGCTGAAGATCCCTTACCACAATGGAAAGCACTCACTAGCTCACACAACCCTGTTATCAGTCGCGGAATTGGATCACGCGGAATTAGGCTCTTTTTATTAGAACTCCAACCTAGCGCCGTCGTTAAATGCACCAAACAGGATAGCATACAGTCTAAGTAGGCTACAACGAATTCGTGAGTTAACGCAATAATCTTCGTTCACAATTACATAAGTTGTAAAAATGCTGAGATTCTGTAAATTTCAAATTTTCCGAAATCGTTTTTATAATATGCAACCAGGCGGACGTCTGTGCTTCGGGTGGCCTCACGCAATGCAAGTCGAGGTAATGTTGGTCGTGCCACACGCACACGGTAATTAAATATAACAACTCTTGGTGTAATGGTTTTATTTCGAAATCGGGACTGGATTCGATCTGCAGCAAATTCGGTAAGACATGGGAGGGTGTCTTAAAAATTGTCACAATCCAACAAGTGTCGTCTAACAAAAAATTGAACTAGATTTGTTTTTTTATTAGAAATGGTTACCTTGTAGAGAGTAAAACGGCACAAGTTTAGACAGAAGCTTTAGGACGGCCATTAAAACTAAATTATCCTCTTCAGTCGCAGGGGGAGTATTGAGAAACCGAGTGAAGTTGGATTCCCACGCGAACTTCAGTAGAGCTGCCTTTTCAAGATCGTCTTGTTTCGTAAGTGTAAACAAATGAATGTAACTGTAAGTTGCCAGTGAGGGAGAACGGGTAAACTGCAAAATACATACCTGTCGAGTTTGCTAATGCTGTCCACTATGGAACTGTGCGATATTGCGTTCTGTATGTCCATTAAACATTGGAAAATACAGTATTCTAAACACGAACTTTTCAAAATGAGTAAAGAATTGTTATTCAGGCGTAAATCACTACTGAACTCCGAATGCTGAATTTCCTTCCATCGTAGAATTTCGGCAAATCCACCAAACCACTCCGAGTTCCAATGTATTTGAATTGAATTCCGGCACCATTTATCAGATAAAAGTGATGCTGGAATAGCGATATTAGTAATATTGGTTCTTTTCCAGCAAATAATTTCATGTAAAAAAATTCTTTTAGTAAAACAAAGATGATAACAACGTGCTGGACTCATAGAATCACTAGTGGCACTGGGTAACTCCGATTTGTAACAAAGTTAAATAGTGCCATTTTTAGGTACATACCTTGTAGATCTGGTAAAGCGTGTTTACTAGCTCGCCAATGGCTGTTACAACTAAACGGTAATGACAGTTGGTCCACCACCAAAAACGGTAAAGACAAGTCCATGCTAGCAGGCGAGCCCAGCACATACCCGCTAAATAACAATAAACACAGCAACGTACTACAGTCTTGCCGGACACGCTCCTCTGAGCAAAAGATAAACAATCCTAAAGTCAGCGGAATTACCACAAGGTTACTACTCAATTTGCATAGTTACCTCGTAAAATATTGCAATACAGGTCAAAATTACTGCACAGTTCTTGGCGTGTCGACGAACTATGCAAACAAATGTACTTCAAAATCGCAATCGACGGAATAATACAGTCAACGTAATCTTTATACGCGACTTCCATCAAGGCGTTTTCGATCGCATTTAATACAATTCCAATGCCATTATTGTCGAGAAAGGCATAGTGCAGGTGTGGATCCTCTAGCATGACGCTTATTTGTGTTAGAGCAGACCTTCTGATTGTCGGTTCGACATCTTTAGCATTTAACAATTCCAACACATGATGTAATGCATTTGCCTGTAATGAAATTTGTTTACATCAGTTTATTTTTATTGAATGTCATCCAATGGATTAAATGAAAAGTGCACACAGTTCTTACAAATTCCTGGATTTCTTGGAAACAAAGTAATCCAAAAGTGGTTTCTTGGCTTTAATATTGACGTTAGAGACCTATTTTATGTGTATCTAGTTACGGTTGAAGGAACCACATAGATAAATGTCACAAAATACAATAGTTTCAGTATGAATATGAGTAATTTTGTACAAAACATATTAAGGCTGTGCTAAGATTTTTATAGTTAATAATAAAGAGTATGGTTAGTACTTAGGTCTCATAAATTGAATTCAACCTCCTGTCAATTAAGTTCATTGAATTTTACAATTTTTATTCAACATGCAGCCCCCATAATCAGAGTAATACCTACCACATGGATTTCTTTTCACCTTAACCAAAAACAGCAACCCAACAAGTAAAAAGGTCTTTGCCCTACAATGAGTAACTTCTTCCATGCATTAATCAGTACTTCGCAAAAGGCCATAACTATGTGCGCTACGTTTTTCTTTACTAAAGGCATCTCTATGGTTAAAATTTCAAAGAAATATCTCCACTGTGCAGTCTACACTGTGCAGTCTACACATCCGATTTTTACAATATGCAATATGTTTGCTTTTACTAGAAGAATCTGTAGTTAAAATTTCAAAGAAATATTTTAATAAATACAGGTGCTCGAGCTATAAGCTTCCGAATTAAAAAAAACGAACTAAATATACTGAAAACTGTATTAGTTGAGACCTCGGACGGACGGACAGAGAAAGGGGCTGCAATGGTGCACTCAATTTCGTTGGAAAATGCGCTAAAAAGGGTGTTTTTGTTTTAATTTGTAACTTCAACAGTCACAGCAGTGATTCCAGCAGCTACAAACAATTCTGTAACATGATTTTATATAAGGCTGTTTTTATGAAGAAGAGAGAAAGAAAGAAAGAGATATAGGAAAAGGAGTAGCACTTTATAAGGGTACTACACAAAAAGCAGGAGAAAAAGTGTGGGACAGAAGAAGAGAAATGAGACGAAATATCACGGGAAGAGATGGAGCAACAATTAAACAGACTGAAGAAAAGGAAGGCAGCAACATATAGTAGTATTAAGAAGAAGCTGAGGAAACTAATAAAGAAGAAATGGAAAGGGGGAGGACTATCAGAAGATTGGAAAGAAGGGGTCCTATAATGATTGTCAAAAACGATATCTGACATACATCCCTAAGATGGCTAATACTATTGTTCACACTTGTGATGAATTCTTTCTTATTTAATTCGACTGAGTGAGTAACACGGTCTACTGCAGAATAAATGATTTATACAGGGGTTGGATGAAGTCAGTGTTCACGACGCATGCAGGAAGAGATAGATACATGGTTGAAAGCAATGTTGCCGCATCGGTTCGCCATGGTGGTGATGAACCTCCTCAAACCTCGACACACAGAGGATCAAGAGGCTCTTCAGGATCCTGTGACCTGCAGAATATTTTTTTCCTCTGTGGGGATGAAATCATTGAAGAATTTCTCAAGTTCCAAACTAAAACTTCTGGGCGGCGGGGGGGGGGGCATGCGCGGAGCAGGTAAAGGGGATAGTAGGCACAACAAATTATACATCGTCTTGCCTCTGTAAATGACACATTAATCTTAATGACAGGTAAGACTAATTCATTTGTTTTATTTAGACACAATACTTGTTTCTGTGGTTGCTATGGAAGACTACAAATCAAATAGGTACTAATTTAATCAAAATGATCGGATATTTTAGTCCAGTCAAATTAGACGTAAAAATGCTACATGGTTACAAAAGGTCCGGTAGAAGATTTTATTTTTCTGATTTGTTTAAATGGTAAAGAGAGAGAAAAATTCAAGTTTGCCAATTCGACTGACGTCGGGAGAAATTTCTGTGGTCAAAAATCTGCAAAAATTTCTGACTTTTTTCGTTTTTTTTTAAATAACTCACCAACGGTAATACTTAGGTAAAATCATCCTTTATTAAAAAATATAGTGTATAAAAGTACTTTCAATTTGATATTTTATTTGGCTTCCTAACATGTATAGTTTAGGAGATACACTAATTTAATGTTACGTGTTTATAGTAATTTGTCAACATTTTGAAAATGGTGGAGGAAGAGGGGGTTAAATACACGTTCTATCCTGCATGGTATTCTAATGAAAGGTCTCATCGAAATGAATTGGTTTCTACAAACTATAACCTTCCTGCGCGACTCCGTTTTGACATCACTGGGTGACCGGCGGATTATCTTCCTTGGTATTCCAATCAAAAGGGAAAAAGTAACTGTTTTCTACCAGCTCTCGCTTACATGTGTTCTGTTATGCAGGTAATGAGTATTTTATATGAAAATTACTTACAATTACAATTTTTTTAAATAGTGAATCCCTTTTTTTGCAGGTTGATCACCAAGGTCGATCACCATTGGTAGCTATATTGGAAGAAGTTAACCCTAATTGTGTGATTATGTTGGCTTATCACTTATTAATATAAATAACGTTTCTATAACTATAAAATGCTGTTAGACACATCTAATGTAGTATTGTACTAGGTGGTAGGTACGTATTAATTTTAACACCTCATGTTGGGCCAAGGCAATGAGAGGGACGAAAATGAATAAGGTTGACAAATGTAAAGAACCACAAATTACACTGTTTTTTAGGAGATACATCAAGTTGAAGTATCGAGTTTTTAATTTTTGGAAAAAATGGACATCAGCAAAAATTTAAACATTAAAATATGATCATGTAAGTCACAAGTTGATCGATCTAAAATGGTTAAATATGCATAATAGGAGAGCTGGACATGCTGCTAGCACGTATTATAAAATTTTAGTTAATAATCAACCCACCTATTTATACCGCAAATTAAAATACAGAACTGATGTACATACGCTAAATTTGAGAAACAAAGGTTTGCTTACACCTCCCTCGCACGCCACAGCTATGTATGAAAGATCTTTTACCTACAACATCAGCAAATGGTATAATTCCCTAGCTATGGACATCAAAAGCATGCCTTACAAAACATTTAGATTAGCTACCATGTCGAGGTTATTGCACGAACAATCTTCTTCTCAATGATATTTGACAATTTAATTTGAGGTTTTTTTTTTTTTGCTAGATATATTATTTTTATTTTTATTTTTTCTTCTTTGTATTTTCTGTTAATGAACGGAATCACATGGGTTAGATGGAAGAGCAGAAATTGTATGTACATATGTTTCATTCCATTACTGAATCTCGCCCTTTGTACACACTTCTATGTAATGTAACCTATAGGTACTATTAAAGACATTTATTATTATTATTATTATTATTATTATTATTATTAAATAAATACATTTACATATTTATTTCTATATGTACCTATACCTAATCTATTTGTGTACATTTATGTTCAAGTCCAGCAACGTAAAAGATGGTTTATTTTCAAAAATTACTATAAACATGAAACTTTAAATTAATCTCCTAAACGACCTAAACTATACATGTTAGGGGTTATTTGAGAAAAATGGAAAAAGGCAGAAATTTTTGCAGATTTTTTATCACAGAATTTCTCCCGACGTCAGTCGAATTGGCAAACTTGGATTTTTTTCGCTCTTTACCATTTAACCAAGTCGGAAAAATAAAATCTTCTACCGGACCTTTTGTAATCAGAAAGAACAAATTGACTGGACTATTTGTGAAATTTTGCATATGGACATAAGTTCATATTCTAAACAAATATTTTTAATAACAGTTTGCCGTATTATTGACCGAAATGACCCTTGATCTCAACACACAATTATTTTTTTCTCAATTGTCACGGCCATCTTAGACTTTAAAAAATGGGTTTGAAATTCCTTTCAGACCAAGCAGGCCAGGATCTCAAAACATCAAAACGAGATTCAAAAATGTTTGATCAATTACATGTGTATAGTGAAATCAGTATGGGGACACACTGTATATAAAGCGAGTGGTGCATCGCTCGCACTCGCTATTTCCATGGATACCACTAATTACTAACAATGAATAAACATTGTTACTACCAGTGCTGTAGTGGTAAATTATCCAGTGTGGGAACGCTCATCATGTTCTGAGAATTGACTAATATCGGGTGATCCAGCATCCCTTCACCTTCGATAAAAATTGAGCACTTTTGTGCCTGCGTATCGGCGTGCGAGTGTACGAGAGATTGCCGAAAAGATAGGGGAGAACCCTAGGACTACCATACACAAAATATTGACGGATATTAAAGATCACAAGTGTGTGCCAGGTGGGTGCCACGGATCCACTCGATGAACACAAAAAATTATCCGATATTACCCTGGAAAACTCGTGCATTTTCACAATTGAAATGATCATGAACACAAGTGCATCGAAAGTACAGCCTTGATTTAGACCCCAGTGACTACATTATTTTGTTCCCCAACTTCAAACAACACTTGGGGGAATGAAATTCTCAAGCTGAAGGTAGTTGCCGATTCCTTCCTGTGCAGGTTGGTGAGAGAATTATATGACATGGATATGAAAAAGCTTTTGGAGCTACGGGGCCTACCCTTACGTTAAAAAAAAATAGCTGAAGATCAAAGTTTTCACAATCTGTAATTGGTTTTGCAACTAAATGATATGTATATGAAAAAGTATATTAATTTACGGACAACCCTAGTACATAAGTTTCTTGGAAAAAGCAGTAGCAACGCCGTTCCCACCCCTCCATACCACTGGTTACTACGCGCACGCTTTCTCATAAATAGCAAAATCTGTACCCCCATCTGGCAACGTCTAAATATTATTGTGTAGGACGAAATTAGTAGAATTTGACTTAACCAAAAACGAAAGCCCTAAAATCAACGCATGCGCATTGAATAATTTGAGCAATTTAATCAAATTGTTTGTTGTAGATTCCTCTAATAAAAGAAAACAAATGAACAAGCCAAACTCCCTCCCACTCACCTGGCACCTGACTCAGGACCTATTACAATGTCACATTCTGAAGTTCCTTCTGAACCAGATGCCTTTTTTTTGTAATGTATAATTCCCAGTTTTATTACCTGAAATAAAAATTCTATTGTAAATACTGCATTCACTAATTACCTGATACAATTTGTTAATCATTTAATTATTGCACATATTTTTAGTTAATAACAAATTTCCAATCTTCATGTTTATTTCGAATAAATACCTGTTGGGTAACTTCTGCTGGGTTCAAATTTAGATGTGGGCATGTTTTTTAATAAATAGAAAAGAAATGCGCCATGTATACAGAGTGAGCCATAAATTCCGGGGTGATCGAATGTTCTGAACTAACGATTTTCAAATTAGGGTAAAAAGAAAGAAAATTATTGGCGATCATGACAATTTTTTTAACTTCTGGTTTGGCTGGAAATAACCCCAATTTTTTTAAAAATAGAACATATTGTTTTTTAATGCTTGAATGGCATAATAAAAAATCCCTCTCCAAAAATACTAGCAACAATATATTCACAAATAAAAAACTTAAAGCGTATGGAGGTAATAAAGGTAAAATTCTTGACAGAAACAGCTTCCTCGCTCAAACCAAAAATCGCGGTTTTATAGTGTCTCCAAAAAATGTTAAGTATAGAGAACAAACGTTTCCCACGAAAGTTAATTATTTTAGATGTAGAATAAGAATATTCAATAAAAAGTGTAGGTTTCTATTTGAAAAAATTAAGTTGCTCTACATGGGACCCTTAAGGGAGAGTTATGTGAAAATGTGAATAGCATCGCTCTACATGGGACCCTTAAGGGACAGTTATGTGAAAATGTGAATAGCATCATTAAATGAGTCCCTCCACATGAAAATTTTATTTCAATAATTTTTTGATATCCCCCCTAGTTTCCGCAACAATCAACTGTCTCAAGATAAATGGGAGGAGCAAATCTAGACATCAAGATTCACTGCCTGAAGGCTGCTAGCACAGTTGAACTACTACCCAACAACAATGCAATCCCCAACAAACACATATAAGAACAGTAAAGAAGCGGGCTATAGTGGGCTGTGGTATCCGTGATCATGGGTGGAGTTTATTTCGTTCTGCAGTAGACCAACGAAGCACCATGTGATGCTATTCTGATACAAAACACTGAAGGTCGTAATCAAATTTCTTTAGTTAAGATTATTGATCAATATGTAATATACAAAATTCTTCACAAGAAAAAACTTTGTCATATTATCAACTTATTGGAAAACTTGGGTCCTTTTCAGATCCCCCTTCCTACTCTTGTAGCAGTTTGATACCACTAGTCAATATTTGGACAACATACCCGAAACTTTGTGTATTTAAAACATTGCACATCTTAGAATCTAATAAACTATCGGATACCTGATAAAAGTGTTGTGCTGGTCTTTCTCTATTGATATCAGCCACTCGCTGCACGTGACAAGCTTTACTCAAAGCCTTATCTCTGAGACTATTCATTCGAGGAAGTAAATTGCGGGAATTTGTCTGAGTTGTCAATAACCAGCATAAACGACTTACAGCTTCTTCCCTTGCTAAACTATCGCCCACAAACAGCAGACATAAGTTGCTTTTTAACACCTACGAAATTATTGATTTGAAGTTAATAACCAGCAGGTTTAAATACCTCTAGGGGAGGGATTAGAAACGTTTTCGCCGTGTCCGGATCTAGTATTCCCACAATGGAACGGCCTAGTACAGTCATTTTTGTCGCATGACAAATTAAAATTGGCAGAACGGGCAGAATGGCATCGATCACTTTATTCCATATACTCTCTGTGACAAGTATTTGGCATTTTAATATATGGACCAGAATATTATCGGCATACTTTTGTATCTAAAATAACCCAAATAAATCAGGGTCTGGCACATTGAATAGGTACCTCCTTATTCTCACTGGTAAGCCCATAAAGACTAATTTCTAGTAGTATGGGTGCTCGCAGGAGGAATAATATTTGCGACCCCGGCGCCCCAGCACCGGTCGCATTGAATTTTGGCCCGATGGTTGCTATAATTCGACTTTCACACTGTCTATAGGTCTCTTGACGTAATTCCATGTGGTTGTGCGCCAACAACTTAAGTAAAACACCTGGAAGGAACATAAAATAAGTCAACTCATAACACATGACTCACTTTCCGCAACTTGGAAGCATTCTTCTTTTTTAGTTGCCGGTAGTTTGTTAGCACATAAATTTATTACTAGATTAATAAATGACGAGTTCTTATGAAATCCTAAGCTTAGCACGGCATCGTTTGCTAACTCCATCGCATTTAAAACTGGCAAGGAATCCGAGGTACGGAGGAGTTTGACCACGCTGCTTATCGATTGGCACACTTGATTGACCTCCTTGTACTTGGCGACTGAGTCGGTTTCAAATCGTCCTCCAAATTCCTATCGGTTGACGTTTGAGAAGCGAACTGTACCTCATTCAGTTACCTTTACAAACTGGAGGATGTTTTCGTGGATGTTCGGATAGAGACGTGCCAATGAAACGTCAAGTAAGCAGTTAGATAAAGCGTTCTTCATTTGTTTCGGTAAGATAAAATCGGCGACGTTTAAAGGTATCAGGCGGATTATTAGATTGCAGCAGCTGGAAAGAAGCCGAAGATGTGTGGTTCTGTTGGTTGTATTGGTTTCGTCACTTGTCACCTCTAATCTAAACAAAATTAAGTTATATTAATGAAACTGTTACCGTACAACTAGTCTCATTCAAGAAAATTTAATTAAAACCTAGACGCCTACCTTCACATATTTTGTGACCAGCCTCAGTTCCGCAAGAGTATTTTTGTTTGTGCAAAAAGTAAAAAAAATATGTGTAACAAACCTAAAGTGTTCGAGGGCTTCGGCAAATTTTTCTAAAACTTTTTCGAAAGTGTGTAAAACCTCAATAACACCGGGCGCAGATTTTTTGTCCCATGCATTCGATTTAAGACACAAGTTCAACAAAAAAATAAGCTCGTCTAACAGCGCAAGTGCTAAATTAGTGCCAATCTAAAATCATAAAACATTCAAACTACGCCTACAATCGCGTGCTTCCACTATACTCACCAGGTTAGATTTCTTGCTTGTGTACTCTCTTCTCAAGCTTTCTGGTTTGACGCAGAGAAATTGGAAAATCGCTAACATTATTGTGAAGCAATACTGAGGCAGTAGCAGCTGTTTGGATTTTAGCAGAGTTTCATCTTCTCCTTCGAAGGTATGGTGAACATGCGGTGGAGCATTCAACGGTGATGATGTGCCAGAAAATATTTCGATTGTTATCTGTTAAATGATAACAATTAATATTGTTGTTGTAGATTTACATAGTTTACACCATGATTAATTTTTGACTTTTTACCGCAGTGTAATTTGTTTAATTTCTTATAAATGACGTTTAGATAAGTTAAGAAACATTTGTTAGAATTGTATTAGGTGTTGTCGTACTTTTTCGATCAGACTTCTCAATCAAATCGATTACAAATCTGTAAACGACGCGGTAACTACTTTTTATGAAATTGTATACAAGATTTTTGATGAATGCGTCCCAAAAGTAACTATCAGGATCACAAACAAGTACCCCATTTGGTTTGATTTAGCTATTACCAAGAAAATTAAATTGAAGAATAAACATCGCACACGAGGCAAATCGGAAGAATTTAAGGAAGACCGAAAGGAACTCAAAAAAATGATCCGTGACGCTTATAAGAAATACATTAGGAACATTGAAGTTGACCTCCGGAGTAATTCAGATAAATTCTGGGGCTACGTTAGGTCCTTGACATCAACCAAACAACTGCCGGAAGTTTTCGAGTACAAAACCATCCCGCTGGAAGATCCCAAAAGCATTGCCGACGCGTTTGCATCGTACTTTAAGTCTGTGTACAACAAAGAGGAAAACCTGGATCCGAACGATGGGCTTGAGTCGGACTTCACAATCCAAATTGCACTTAACGAACATACAGGAAAGTGAGTTACTAGAATCAATCAAAGTCCTAAAACCACGTGCAGCTATAGGGGAAGACGGGATCCCACCATACGTATTGAAAGGATGCGCACACAGCCTGGTAACCCCCCTGTTGCATCTATGCAACTTGGCACTCCGCACCTCCACTTTTCCCTCAGTTTGGAAATCCACTACAATTACCCCGATCCATAAAAGCGGCAGCAAGAAACTAATCGAAAATTACCGCCCAATAGCTATCATCCCTGCAATAGCGAAAATTTTCGAAAAAGTAATCTATAATAAATTTTATTCCCATCTTGGCAGTGTTATTGCAGATCAGCAGCACGGATTCACACCGAAGAAATCAACAAGTACTAACTTAATGCAGTTTACGCATTTCACAGCCGCCGTCCTTGACAAGAGGGCTCAAGTGGACTGTGTATACACCGATTTTGCGAAAGCTTTTGATAAGGTCTCCCATCAGGTCCTGCTTCAGAAACTTCATTTTAATTGTGTCAGTAGCCCAACGGCTAAATTTCTTAAATCATATTTAACATGTGAAATACAATGGGGTGAACTCAACCGAATTTTACCCCTCTTCAGGGGTACCTCAGGGAACACTACTTGGCCCTTTCCTTTTCCTACTATTTATTAATGACCTACCGCGGGTGATTCAAAACTCCAAAGCACTTCTATTTGCAGACGACCTGAAACTTTTTAATAAAGTGAAATCTCAAACGATTGTTTAAATATTCAAGCAGACATAAATGCAGTGATAAATTGGTGCAATAAAAACAAACTGAAGCTAAACATAGAAAAGTGCAAAGTTGTATCGTACACAAGATCCAACAATTCCACGATTTTTAAATACGAAATAAATGGGCAGGATATCCAAAGAGTCACCTCGGTTAGAGATTTGGGCGTTTTATTCAATAGCAACTTAAATTTTCATCGGCACATTGAATCCCTTATAAATGCGTGCTACAAAGTACTAGGCTTTGTAATTAGGAATACCTACAATTTTACAAGCATTTCCTCAATTATTACCTTATACAATGCGTTCATCAGATCCAAACTCGATTATGCGGCATGTATTTGGACACCCCAAACTTATAAGCACGCAGACATGATAGAGAAAGTTAAAAAAAAATTAGTGCGAATAGTGTATTTTAGGTCGACTCAAAATTTTCCACATTTAATCTCTTACTCCAATCAACTAAAATTTTTAAATAGTGTGCACGGTATTAAAATCTCAAGTTTACAAATCCGACGCGAAGTGATCTGTGCTACCTTTGTGTACAAGATACTGAATAATCACCTAAATGCTCCAGAATTGCTTCAGGAAATTAAACTCAAAGTGCCACATGTTAAATTAAGGAAAAACGATATCATCTTTTTAGTGACCACTCCGTCATCGCCACTATCGAGGAGCCTGTTGGCTTTAAATAAGAAGTGCCGTGAGAGAGACATCGATGTATTTCACGGCTCTTTGAATGAATTAATTAGTCATATAACATCGTAATTACTGTGTAGTTTTAGTTTTAAGTACAGCACCCCAGTGCCATGTAATTGGAATAATTGTATTCTGTATGGTATCTGGCTAAACAAATAAATAAATAAATAAATAAATAAATAAAAAGTTATAGACTAGAAACAAATGTCGAAAAACATACAAAGGGCTGTAACTTTTGAACTAGTAGCCCAATCTTGGAACTGTTTGAAATTATGGATTCTGCAGGCCACATTCTATAAGAAAATTATTTTCCGGGTCGATCTGAGACAATTTTTTTTTCGGGCCTCAGAAAAAGGCAGTGTATAACCTTCCTTTTTTACCAAAAATCGACTACACCAAAATTTCTCGGGAAAACACTTTTTCTTATTAATTTTGGTGCGTAGAATCCAAAACAATTCGTACTTTTTCGATCAGACTTCTCAATCAAAAGTTATAGACTAGAAACCAATTTCGAAAAAATTCAAAGGGCTGTAACTTTTGAACTAGTAGCCCAATCTTGGAACTGTTTGAAATTATGGATTCTACAGGCCACATTCTATAAGAAAATTTTTTTCCGGGTCGATCTGAGACAATTTTTTTTCGGGCCTCAAAAAAAGGCAGTGTATAACCTTCCTTTTTTACCAAAAATCGACTACACCAAAATTTCTCGGGAAAACACTTTTTCTTATTAATTTTGGTGCGTAGAATCCAAAACAATTCGTACTTTTTCGATCAGACTTCTCAATCAAAAGTTATAGACTAGAAACCAATTTCGAAAGAAACTCTCATCATTTCTCAAAAAAAATAGTACCATAGCGTACTCTGCTCCAAATAAACAGTTGCATCTTTCACAAGATGATGGTGTAATGTCAAATCATGTTGGATTCATGAGCATGACAAATTTAGGTTTTGGACGTGTTGGAACAACTGTCCCATATAAGCTCTTTTGTGACATTGTGTGTTAATAGATGTTGTACCAATTAGTCTTTACGATTAGTGCCGTAACTACAACTGTCACATTTAAATTCTTTTGCGACATTGTACTTTAATAGACGCTAAATACTAATTAATTTGACAGCTCGCATTAAGAAATTATCAGTGAGTTGATTGCATGATTAAATACAGTTGAAGATAAATAATAGCCGTTTAAAACACTGATCGGTGCGATTAGTGAGATTCCATTGGCTGACATTTTTTTCTAGAACACGTCCAGCATCTGTCATAACGAAAATCTCGATGAGACTTTAATTAAATCTTTTGGGGCCCTCATCAGCATTGGCCAACTCCCCACAATTCCAGAACAACATATAAACTTTCTTCTAAAAACTTTACAACCACCAAGACTGACTGTCCATAAAAAAAATTAACCAAAAGGCCCCGTTTGCCTTTTTAAAATATTCTTCCTCTCTACACTGTCTGAAACCTTCTCCTCTATTATTTCTCTATTTACCAATCAAGTCCACTAGAAACGAAGTTCGGCTCCCTCTCTCGTCTACCTTGAATATACGTCTTCGATAACTTCACACCTCTGTTTACTCAGGCGTACACCTGCTTATATTCAAATTAATTAGCTTATGGACCGATAACAACCAACCGATAAACTTTAAAAAAAACAACAAGACAATTTGTTCCTGATGTCCCTAATCTTTCTTATCGTAATCTACTGAACAAATAAAAATCAAAACACAAAGCGATTATTTAAACAAAATTAGCATGTAATAATTCTAATACAAATCAACATCGAATCATTACTATCAACGAATTTGTGTTCAATCCAAATTAAAGACCACATTTACACTTACAAGAAATTAAATTCAATTACTTGTACGGGATGACCAATCGTTACAATAGGTGCTGACATCAATATGAACGTCCGCACGACGTAGTTTAATTTTACAATTTTATCTAGTTCTAGACCAAATGGTTACAACACCACAAAACAAAGATTCTTCTTCACTGAGGAGCTCCACTATCTACCCTTCCATTACACTTACCTTTTCTTTTTTATTGTGCATTGACGGATCAGAATAATAGAAAATTCTAGTTTTAAGACACTTTGTCAGTTTAATAAAACAATTTAATATCGCATTCGTCAACCGTGACGAAACCGACGTCCTCATATAGTCCAGAAAAAGCTAAAAGGTATTAGGTCAACACGCACAAGTTTAGGCAAAAACAAAATACATACTAAAACAATTGAAGGTCTCTGTAAAAAGACCTCGGCCGGGAAGTCTTGTAGCATAACGTCCAGGAAAAATTCGCAGGAATATAGCAGCGATGAGGGGTCAGTTGGATTTCTCAAGGAATCCTCGATCGATTCCAGTACGTGTCTATCAGATGCGATTAATGGTTGCCACTTGAGAGTAAAATTGATACAGAGACCATCGGGAGTAGGTACATGGTTGATTTTGCTCGTGCTCACGCTAAAATTGAACATTAAGTACAGGTGAAGTTAAAGTCGTTAAAGCCTAACATGATCAAGGATGATTGAAGGATGTATTAGGGACAAACAAAAGATCATCTCACTAAAGTGCTTTATTATACACTGTGTCCAAGATAAGGATGTAACATACAAGATATGACGATGGTTGATTAGAGAAAATATGCGCAATCAAAGAGTTGTTATAATGCTGTAAAGACATACAGAAAATTCCTATTACTTCTGATTTCTGAAGGTGTTATAATTTCCAGATTTTTTAGTTTTTCCATTATATCTAATGCAGGTTGTGATTTATTTGGCGAAAAAACTGCCAAAATCAATTCAAACAGCATATTACCCAATTAAAGCCAGGGCGTGTACTGGACCATTTTAAAAATTTTAACTTTCATTTAGCTAACTTACAGAGCATACCAAAGCACTCTTCTCAAAAAATTAAAAATTTTATTTTTAGAAAAAATGTGATATTGAACCACCATGTGTGATATATCGTTATAAAGAGAAAAAAAGACGTAATCCTAAAATGTCAAAATTCAATATGGCGCCCATAAGAAAAACTAAAATTGCCACGTGTTTCTCCGTCATCTTGAAAGTAATTAAAAACAGGATGCCATATTTGAAATCTCCATTAAAAAGTGTCCGAATAATGTGTTAATTAGAAATGCCTACTACGATTAGTTTATCATAAAAAAATTAAAAACGAAAATCAAAAATTTTCGTTTTTTTGCGATATCTTCAAAACTATTCAGATTCATATTCATCACGGAAATTTGCAACTTTGCCCCCATTTAACCAATTTTCTATCCCTTAAGATAAGTGAGATCCCCATAGTGGCACTCAAAAAATGGACACCGTGTATAGTAGAAAGTAGACAATAAGAAACCCCCAGCAAATCCATAGCATTTTCCATCTTTCGGGAATTTTGGAGAGATCCGACAGCTAAGTATCCAAATTAGACCCAGACTCCATTCGAGCTACGATAATCTAAGAATTTCACAGAGGAAACCGATTCAATTTTATATGCGAGTAGAAACAACCAGATTCAAGATAATGCCAATAACACAGGTCACAGCTGTACCAGAGTTTTTGTTTGAAGATGTTGTCCGTGCATGTAAATTAATTAATAAAACAAATTCAGTCAATTCTGCAAAGAATACACTTTGCAGAGTGCCACGAGATGGAAGAAACCCCCGCATATACAGCATCACTGCGAAAAAGATAAAGATGCAGAGGATTCCAGATTTCTTCAAAGATATTGACATCATATAAGAGAGTGAGGCTAAAGCTACAGTGCAAACACCTTTGAGAATAATAATACATCAAACTAGCTAAGTCATGAAAATAAGTACCTACCCAGTTTGTGGTTCCAAACTGGAATCGTGTTGAATAATGCCTTCAATTGTTGTGGCAGTAGATCCAACTGTAAGTGCGGGTCGAATCTCCAACCCTTCCTCTCCACTTCGATAACTTAATGGCAGGTCACTGCGTAAAGGTGGAACACCGCCGTTTCCGTTCTCCTCAACTGCATGTAAAAGCATGTCGACATCCGGGTACAATTTTCGATCCATGTTGGATCGCATTTGTCGAATTTCGTCAACAATAGTTTTAGTGCCATAATGATTTATTAGAATTGAACCACTATCTGACTGGAAAGCAATAACGTATCAGATCAGTAGACTCTTCATGAGTTTAGCTACCGTAAGTATGCGTTGTATCAGCTTTAGCACCTCCTCTTGGTATAAACACGGCTTGAACTCGAACCACTGGAAAAGTTTGGACAATAATTCTCTACTGCGTGCCAGATCATTGTCGTAAACAAATCCATGATCCAATTTCGATAAGATATTAAGCAGTGCTCGCTCACGAATCTCTTGTAATTTGTGGCCTAAAATTTAAAGGTTATATTATTGCAATTACCAGAACATTCTCACCTAATTTTTCAATATGTATAGACGATATAAATCGGTCTGTCATGTTTTACTTTTCAAAAAATATTGGGTTATGTTTTTGAAAAATTTGTTTACCATCCTCCCGTAACGGTAAATTTTAAAAAAGGCGGGAAAATTTGAAAGTGCTTTTTATTCTTTATTAAGAATCACATAATTGTACATCTAGGATGGTTAATCTTGTAGTTTCCAAATGATAACTGACCATGCAAATATGTGGCAAAATAGAAATAGGACGCACAAGTCATCGGGATTTTCGATATCAAACCATTCAAAGTTTTGTATAAAGTCTGTGAGAAATTGCATTTTACTGGGAAGATTTTACAAGCTAATTGTCATTCTTGTCATTTATTGTAAAAATGTATGTTTTACTTTTTGTACGTTGCACCTACAGTCTAGATTTGAATCTAGACTGTGGTACAAGATGAGAATAAATTATAAGTACGTTGTTGAGAAGAAAACAGATGAAGTAAAAAGGAGTATGGAAACTCCATATTACAGGCCGTCTAGTATAAAAACAGTAGCAGTAGGTATAGTCGCTCACTGCAAAACTTAAAAAAAAAACTTGTTCTTTTCTTCGCGTGGGCTATATAGATAGAGATGAAGATATAATAGTGTATAGGTACACCTCACAGGCGACAAGTTTTGCAGAGGCAGAGGAATTCTCTTTATTAAGAAAAAATATAAATGTTGTAATAGACATAATATAAATTACGTCGCTTACTCTACTCTTCTTTAGTATACTCAAAGTAACTGCCATACTAAATTCACGCGCGTAGACGTTGCGCGAAATACATTTTGAACTTGAGCGTACTCTGTACCTTGTAATAAAGGTGCTGCTTCCAGGCTACCACTTGTGTTTTTCTCTCTCATGTTTCTCGTCTTCCAGGGGGTCTTTTCTATTTTTATTTTTCTGACTTGTTCTTCATATCTTTCAGTTTCTCCATCTTTTTTCTTTTGTACTTTTTCTATTCTTCCAGCGATCCCCCTCTATTTCTCCCTTTCTTTCTTTGGCCATCACATTATTCTATTTCTCTTCTGTACCCTCTCTGTTTCACCATTCCTTTCTATTATCTCTCCCTTTCAACAATAAGTTAGCGAAAGAATGAAATAGGTATATAGTTCAGGACAACAGCTTCATTTTCATTTATATCATATGGGTTGCTCAGAGCTTTTTATACGCTTAATAATGACTTTAAAAATTCTTAAAAGTAAGGAATTCAAAGCCGTCTAAAATCTACTGTTTAACACTGGATTATTTCTGATCCGGCACTCAGATCCACTTTAGATCATGTGCCAAATGTGTGAATAGGTCCAGAGGAGCGGATGCCTAACATCAGACAGACAGACGTAATTTTTGTAATCACAAACACCTTGTTTAAATTCACATTTTCAAACAATTACATATTTATGTATATTTTTGCAAATTTGCACTCTAAAATTAAAATAATTTGTACATTGACAATGAAATACATATAACAGGTAAATAAAATTCTTTAACTTTTCCTATTTTTTTCTGCTAATCTGCTTGATCTTCTGGGATCTAAAAATTTATAAATTGAAAACTTGATGTAAGCAAAAAGTATCAAATATAACAAGTTTCCATGGTATACAAATATGTGTTTGCCTACTTGCTGTAGAAACTGTACTCATTTGCACTGAAAAGTGCCAGAAGATGATCTAGTAGTCAGCAAATATTTGTACAGCACAAAATGTTTATATTTAGTGTTCTTTGAGGTAGTAACTTACGTTCCACGGATTTATTGGGAGAAAACTGAATGAGGTTTGAGGTCTCGCACAAATTTTCCTTTTCTGTACTCTCGGAGAATAAGACAGATTTTACTTTTCTTATACTACGCTGTTTTGGCGTTCGTTCCGGCTTAAGTATACTCTTTGGTGTGTTTATTGCTCTTTGGTTACGGGGAGTGACAGCCTGAAAATCTGTAATTAAATAAATAGACTAATGTGGTCTACTTACAGCAGATTCGTGCAATATGTTCGATATATTTGCCAGCTTACTGCGTGGTGTGGTTACAACAATCATTGGAGAATTTTTAATTTCTTTCATATTTTTTTTGCGTTGTTCTATAATTTAATGTCAGCAGAATATCGATGTATCAATTTGAACAAACCTTTTATTAAATCCCGCAAGCTACTCTTTACTCCCTTTCGTTTAGTGTTGCTAACTTTTTTCAGTTTGACTTGCTTTGTACTTGTGGGTGCCACAGGAAGAATCTCTTCCCAATTGTTAGTCTTAAGACGATCTAAATTTTCAAATCGACTATCTAAATTGTTTATCTACAATATAGGAAATAAATATTTAGAGGTACAACATAGGTATAGTCTACTTGAATCAAAATTATGTCCCAAAATCCGTGCAGATCAAGGCAGGTTACGATTTTATCGCCATTTGAATTTTTGCACTGGCCGATGAGCTCTTGGAATTTCGTAAACTTTTTCCGCATCAAAAGCTTTGTTTGACCAATTGCCATACGGATCATATCACAAGCCTCCTCGGGTGGGTTCTGCGTGTCCTGTGAATATGCGTTATTATTGGATGCGAACTTCATTTACAAAAAAGGCATGAGAAAGGGACGGCAAAACTTACACTGTAAGTCTCCCAGCTGCAACACAGCTGACTTAAGCGCTGCTCCTGTTTCTGAAGTAAATTTTCAAAGTATCTGGCACCAGCTTTGGGAGTCATATTTTTCTGTACGCCACTAGCTGTGGGCGACTCAATTAAATTAGATCCTATAAATCTGATAAGATATTCAAGCACAAGCTCAACTTTATACGTACGTCGGTTGTGATATTCACGGCGTGAATTCTCCTTCCCTCTAGATACAGTTATAAATGGGCTAATATACGTCACCGGAGGATCGTTTTCAACAGGAGTGACGCATCGAGCACCATCTTCGTTGCTTTCACACTTTCTATATGTTTCTTTTATTGTAGTAGTTGTTTTTTTGATCACTTTAATATCTGAACTTGTGTTTTTTGTCATCGAGCTGTTCTTATACGACCTATTGTTTGAAACCCTAGTTTGTTTGCTTGACGTGTCGTTCAACACAAAGTCAATTTTGCGTCTCGCCTTTGACTTAGTGGGGGATTTCATGTTTAATGGTTTTACATTAACAGGTGCTTTAAATTTATATGTAGAAGAAGGTGCCACCTTAAATTGATCGTTCCCCTTAATTTTCTTGTAAATTTCAGATATGTCTGGCACAACTACATCCTTAACACGGCAAACTTTAAAAATAGGCTTGGCTTTGGCTTTTTCGGCCGCTAATCTCTTTTTTTTCTGCTCCTTCCATTTGTTTAACTGTTCCCTACGCTCGTCACTTTTATCCTTCTTAATTACGGATCGTTCGATCTTCTTTATAGAAGTATGAGGGGAGTTTATTGGGGACATGAAGGCAGTTATGTTTCGTCTTTGTAACAATGTCGTCCACCGTGATGTACGACGAAGATTATCTGCCACTTCCTCCATTTTTTCTAAAGTGGTAGAAGTCCGAACGCGAACTTTATATAAGTTGGATCTTTCATAACCATTCGCCA